GTTTCAACAGAACCGGATGATGGACCGGACATGGAGAGGGGAGAGGAGGGAGCTGCAAGGATGACCCCCAGCGTGTGTACTGAGGTGTCCGGTGAGTTACTTGTTACATCTGATGCCTTTGACTTTACATTCATAATGACAAAAGCTGACTCACATTTCTAGCAAACGCTATTCATCTTCCCAAGGTGATTCTGAAATGAACGGTGTGGGAGGCATTCGGTATTTATTTGCTTACTTGCTTTGCTGGCCTTGACTCATTTTAATTGCTGAAAAGTCTGATTTTTTTTTAAGTTGACTTGAACACATCATGTTAAGAGGGAAGTTTTTGTGTCATTATTTCTGAGTTTTTCTCAAGAGATATTGGGATTGAAGTTCATTTGCAACTCAATTCATAAAATCAATCAAATTAATAAAATCAATGTTTTAAATAGTTACCTAAGTAAATCTCACACTTCTTAAATCAACAGCTGCTGTCTATAATTCCCCTGTTGTGGTTTGAAATGGTGGATAATCTCATGTCCAGGCTCATGGTAGGGGTCCCAGGGACCATGAAATGTCATTCACCTCACTTGGTTTCAGGCTGTTCTCAATTTCCTTTCTCACACTTCTTAAATCAACAGCTGCTGTCTATAATTCCCCTGTTGTGGTTTGAAATGGTGTATAATCTCATGTCCAGGCTCATGGTAGGGGTCCCAGGGACCATGAAATGTCATTCACCTCACTTGGTTTCAGGCTGTTCTCAATTTCCTCCATTTTGTTTATTTTCAAATTATATTTCAGACTTCCAGTTTTTAGCCATTGATCCACACACTCAGTTGAACATATAATTTTTCCAACACTTGATTATGAAAAATTTTAAACATGTGGAAGAGCTGGAAGAATTGTAAGTGAATACCCATATGCCCACCAGCCAGGGTCTCCGTTAGCATTGCTCCGTCATATGTCCATCCGTCTGATTATCCCTCTAGTCACGCACAAGTGCATCTTATTTTTTGATAGATTTCCAACTATCAAAAGTTGCAAATATCAGTGCATTTCACCACTCATCACTTGAGCATGCGTATTATTAACTACAGTTTAATACTTGTTTCGAGTTTAAGATTTGCTTACATACAGTGAAATACACAAATCTTAACTATAGCCTTCCTGGAGTTTTGACAAATGTATATAACTCTGTAACCCCAATCCCATCAAGATACCATCCCAGAAGTCCCCCATGCCCCTTCACAGTCTGTCTCTGCTTCCACCCCTGTCCTGCCCACCCCTAGAGGCGACCATTGTTCTGAATTATTTAACCATAGATTAGCTAGAGCTTCATACAGAGTATACTCTTTTGTGTTTGGCTTCTTTCACTCATCATAGTTTTTGAGATTGATCTGTGTTGTATGTGTCAGTAATTTTTTCCTTCTTATCACTGAACATTTCTTTGCATCAATCTACCACAATGTGAAGAACTTTCTTCTGTTGATGGACTCCTGGGCTGTTTCCAGCATTTTCCTGCTTTGTACATTCTTAAATAAATCCTCTTGTGAATATGAGGGTACTTCAAAAGTTCATGGAAAAATAGAATGAAAAGATAACATGAATCTTTCCATGAACTTGTAGAAGACCCCTCATATATGCTTTTGTTTACCTTGGGTAAATACTTAGAGGTAGAACTGTTGGGTCATAGGGAAGGCATATGTTTAATTTTAGAAGAAACTGCTAGACCTTTTATCAAAGTGGTCATACAATTATATACTCCCTCCAACCATGCATGAGAGTACCAGTTGTTCTACATTTTGACAAAATTTCTTTTCAGTTTTAGACATTCTTGTGGGTGTGTAGAGAAAATATAGTTTTTAAATTATTATTCTTTAAGAGACAAATTACCCTGAAATCGTGTGTGTGTACACACACACACACATACACACAAATCCTGGATTTGTAGTGCTTTTCAGAGCCAAGTCAGGTGTTTGTAAACAAAGCATTTAGCACGACAGCAAAATGTGTGACAACCTATTGTATTTTAAGTAATTAAGGTTTTCAAATTATTATTTCCACCCGCCCCCCCCATACAAGCTGTAAGCTTCCAAGCCTCCGAGGACTTGCTGAGAAATCCCAGCTTTGAGCTCTGGCAGGAGCATCACAGGCCGAGGACAGCAGTATTCACATTGCAGAAACTGTAGTGCTAAAGCCTCTAGGCTCCCCAGTAACACAGTAACAAAATTCCCAGTCATTACTGTACATGAAAATGTTCTACATTATAAGCTTTTATAAATAAACACCACAGTACCAAGAGTTGATTGTCATGGGGATTTTAAATTCTGATCTTTTTCCTTTCCCTTGGCATGTGTGTGACAAAACCTTTTGATAATAGAAATTCAAACCTTCTCCAGAATTTCAAGGAAAACTGTTTCCAACAGATGTCCTGCATTGATCGGGGGATATTTCCTTAGACCCTGTTTAACAAGCCTAGGCCTTTGCCATCCCTCCTGGGGCCTCACTGTAGTGGGACAGAGCAAGTGATTTTAGAGCTAGTGAGGGCCCAGTTTGAAATTGGGCTCTGTGCACTGGTTGTGTGGCTTAGGCCAGTTACTTGACCTCTCTAAGCCTCAGCTTCCTGTCTGTCAAAAGGAATGATGCTACTTCCCCCCCTCGCAAGGGAGCTGTAATGATTAGGTTGCAGGTGTGAAGCTGCCAGCACATGGGAAACATGTCAGAGACGGCCATTGTCATGGGGTGAAGCTGATCCCTCTTCCTGCCCTGCAGTCCTCAAGCCCATACGCCTCCCATGGCTGCCCACCACAGAGACCACCAACTCTACAACCACACCTTCTCTCTTTATTTTCTCAGTGAGCTAAGTATTATGAGGAGAATAATTTTGGCAGAATAATTAATACTGAGTTGTAAATGACTGGTAGGTTTAGATCTCCAGAAGAAAATTCTAATAGAACTTTGTCATCTAAGTGAATCTTTAGTTGTAAAATGAGGTGTTGGAGGAGGCATGTGGATAATCTGAGTTGGAAAGTTTCATTAAAAACCCAACACTGCTGGGGTGTGGCAGGGGGAAGGTCTTCCAGCGCTGCTCATAGTTTAGAGCATCCATCATGAAGTGAGTCTCAAAATAGAGTCCTGGCGCCAGATGTTGACACAACCCCGAAGAGTGTCCATTGTAGAACTGGGAGTGTCCCCACATTCCGCTGCTGGCAGTAGGTATGGAGAGAGCCCAGAAGAGGCAGATGAGCCAGTTGGAGACAGTGTGTTCAGCTCAGAAAGTGCCAAATGCAACATGGTACATAAAGAAAAACCAGAGACCCCTCAGTAGATGGAACTGTACCTGCTGACCCCATCCTGCCAGTACCCTCATCTCCTCCTTGGTGGCTGGGCACATTTCCATCCTCGGCGCAGGGTGGGCTGTGCACCTGCTGGACTTTGTGCTTCATCTGGCCCCACTCTAGGCAGAACACAAAGCCCTCGCTGAAGTCCCAGGAGATTCACAATTCAACCTGCTGGCCCACAGGTGCTGATGAAAGAGGAGAAAGGGTTTTTTTTGTATAATGTGGGCAGCCATGTGTGGGACTTGGCTCCTAAAGGAAAGAGGTATTTTTGATTCAGACAGAAAAACCGGGCATTTAAAGATCACTTGCTTTTGAGCAAAAGCTGATTGAGAAAACAATTTGCAAGGCAAAAGTTTTATTCATTTTGTCTAGTATAAAAAATTCACACTGTGCTCAGTAACTTTGTAGCAAATGGTCTTCCTTCCTAAAGGAGAACATAAAACAGTTGTTTGCAGAAGAAATAAAAAGGTCCCATAATTATGGGATAAACGAGTCACAGCCCTTAGTCACATTATGACCAAGACATCACACAGGTTGGTCGTGTAATTGTTTCTATAATTATGTGGAATAGACTGAGCAGAATAGTTCATAGAAAACCCTATTTTAACACTTTACTTTTACATGATTATTTTTCAATGGTTGAGTTAAGCTGTAATATTTTGCCTGAATCTGACAAAGTTGGGATTTCTGGCTATTACAGTTGATCTTGCTAAGCCATGCTAATTTTCCTTAACAGACCGTCCTACACACTCACCTGTCTTGTTTTTCAAGTTAACTTAGCCCATTGAGTGGCCACGCAGGTTTAATGATCTGAGCACCTGGAAGTGGGGGCTGTAGCAGTTCCGCAGCATGATAATCTGCACGATAGAACTAAATGTGCCCCCTAACCGTGCCTCAGCCAGTTATAAACACAGGAAATGCAGAACCTTAAAGCATAGTTATTATTTCTAGTGTTAATGACTTCATTTCCTTATTTGACAGATACTTATTGAGTATTAACACAAAATCATTGGCACAAAAAATTTGATAATGAGAAAGAACTAGGTGTAAAACTGCATCTAAAGTTTAGATCTCATTGTGAAGATCATTTTTTCCCAAGCATGCACAGATATATTTTTTATTTTTATAAAAATGTATCATGGTCTACATGTTTTGTAACCTCCTTTTTAACTAAATAGTATGTCATAACGTGTGAAAAAACATTTTATAAATTGACTTGTACTTGAGGAGCATTTGAAGAACATTTTAGGAAGGTTTTTAAAAAAAATCCTAGGCTTAAATTCAGATTATTTTATATTATAGAAAAATTTTATAACATGTCTGAAACATAGACAGGTTATATATATTAGCCTTATAAAAAACTTAAATTTAGTTACAGCCTTCGTCTTTCTCCAGACTGCCAAAATGAGAGTAGCTGACTGGGCGTTTAGATGTCCTGCTTAGAAAGGACGTCCCTCGGGAACCTTCCAGCTCTCGGGCTCAGCCATTCTATAAGTGTCTAAAAGAAGTAGAGCCTCTGTGTCATTGTCACTTGGTGTACCTCTTTCATCTGTTCATGTTATCTGTGCAATTCTTGCTTTCTTAAAGTTTTCAGAGCTTTTTAAATTGTTTGATGAGAAATATAGCAAATGCCGTATTTAAAATCTCTTTGTCTTGTACCAAACTTTTGAACGAGTTTAGATTCACAAGGTTCATCGTGATTCAGGAGACAATTCTCAGACAGGTGAGAATACTTTAATTTAACTCTAATATATTTATGAGGCATTTGTGGGCTCAAGTCTATAATTACTCTGAAGAAGTCTAGATTGACACCCACCACCCCAGAACATGGATTGCTAAAATTCAAGGGCTAATATTGGAAGCTTGGAGAGCCAGAAGAAAAGCAGGAATCCCTTAAAATATCTTTGAATCTTCATTCATGACAACCTTATCTACTGGATGCTTTACCCATCTTGGTTTTCTTTTCTTGGCTAGAGATGATGTAGAACAGATAAACCCAAAACATAGAGTGGCCCAAAGTTCTAGGGGACACATTAGTGGAATATGAGCCAGGTGAGAATATGGTTGTTTTTCAGCCCTATCCAGTCTTCCCGTTCTTTGCAGTAATTGGCGACTGTACCATTAGCGAACGTGGATGGCCCGGCCTGAGAGGCAGGAGCACTACGTTTCTATTTCGGCTCCCCGCTTTCTCATCTCAGACCTTGGGCAAGACTCTGTCTGACCCTTTTGGTTTCCTCATCCCTAATAAGAGGGGCTGGACCTCATGCCTTCTACATGTGGAAAGGTCTGGAATTCTCTGACCATTAGAGGAAAAGATCAGTCTGCCACCAAAGATTTAAATTCTTGTTCCTACAAGAATTGCAACCAACACATTTTCCACCCTTTGGTGCCTTTCCCACCCACTAATACGTAAAGTTAAACCCTGGGCACTGATTCAGTCCTTCTCTTTGACTCGAATGGAATATTCAGCCTACTCAGCAAGATTTCATGTGCTGTTTCTCAGCTTCGGTTTCTTCATTTGTAAAATAAACTAACAGCGTCCATTTCGCTGTTAATGAGGATTAAAGAAGAAAGTGTATGTAATATCTAGCAGTCCCAGGCATTTGTTTGGTATCATCCTTACCCTTTTCTGAGAACTTTCTGGGCAAGAACAGCCTTGGGTGACAGGACAACTCTTCACACACACGCACACTTTCTCAGTTGTTAACATGTAGAGAGAGGGTATTATTTTAACCAACTTGTGAGCTCGGGGTGCCCAAAATCGTCATAAACATGTTCATGTCCTTTACAGTGCCCAGCACTGCCTCATACATGAGAGACACTCAATAAATCCTCACAGAGCACTGATGAACTGAAACCGTTCCATCTAGGAAAACGAAGTTTCCACCATTTATTAGCTCTTTAACTTTGGGCTATTTACATAATCTCTCTAAGCTTAAATTCCTTCTCAGCAAAATGGGGATAGCCCTATGTAGCCTTCAGAATTATTGTAATTATTAAATGAGACAATTATTACATTTAAAGTAATAGCACAATGCCTGGCGCATAGTAGGTGGGGGCTCAGTATGTGGTAGCTTTTTTTGTACTGGTGACACAATATCACTTTTTGCCACTGAGTACAGCTTCTTAAATCCCCTTTATCCTCTTTTCTCTGATTTAAGTTTTTAATAATTTCTGTATGTGCCTATTGAGGGTATGAATAATGAATTCCTTGATTTAAATGGCCTTACTTTAGCCATTACTGAAAATAATTTCTCCAACCTGTTAATCATTTCTATTGCTCTAGAGTCTCTTAATTTTATTTAACTGAGATAAAATCAGGAAGAATAAGCATCATCCAGATTTGAATCATTTCTAATGAATGATTTAGAATTCAACCACCCAGCCTGGGCCACAGCCTTGAGACTAACCTCTCTACTTTTAGTTTTATTTAGAAATTACATTTTGAGGAATTCTTGATACTTTAATCTTGACTTTAATCTTAAATCTTAAATCTTTAATAAATTAGATTTAATGTATTATTTGGTAAACAAATAAATGTCAGGAATGTATGTGATTATTAAGTCCCTGAATGGGCTAAAAACAAGTGTCTAGCGAGTGAACACTATTAGTATCTCAGGGTTTGAAAAATTGATCCTAACAATATTCTTTAAAGTACTACTGTCATAGATGTCTTTATGAAGAAATTCTGAAACTCATATCCAAGAACAGGAGAATTATTAAGGCAGAGTCTGGAAGATAAAGATTAGGCAAAAGGATAGTAAATATGTGAAGTTAGGTTATTTAAGACAAGGCTCTGAGGATGTGATGTTCAGATTAACTGTAATAGTTCTGCCTTCAATTCATGCTGCATAAATAGAATTTGGGTTTAGTTATTGATTTCACCTTTTTTTAGTTAAATCAGATTTTTTTAGGATACTAAAGTAAAAGGTTAAAAAGGTGTGAGCTAGAAAAGTGTCTAAGACATAAAAGTATTATGAAGTAAAAATAGCAAGTAGTAGGATATGATAACATCCCATGTGTGTCTAAAAAGATATATATGCAAACGGGCAGATGTAATTAATAATAGCCAGCATGTGCGACATGCTTGCCGTGTGGCAGACACTGTTCTAGTGATATACATGGATTAACTCATTTACTTCTCACAACCTATGAATGATACGCTATAATTATCCCCACTTTACAGATATGGATTCTGAGACACAGAGAAATTAAGTAACATTCCCAAGGTTACACGGCTACTAGATGGCACAGTAGAGATTTGAATTTTGACAATTTGGCTCTGGAGCTGGTTTTCTTAACTGCCAGGCTCTCTTGCACCCGTTTTGGTGTTGCTAGGCCATTCTTAAAGAAGCATTATTGCATTTTTTTCCTCCTTGGAATATGGTCATTTACTGGTGTCTGAGAAATGCATTCTTCCTGCTGGAACCTGCATGTCTGCCTCCTCTGTCAGCATGGTGAAGAGTGATTCTGTCTTACGGTTAGTTTGCTCTCTCTGCTCATGAGTTACTCCCACAGGAAGCAAATGCCTTCAGAATGCAAGTTTCTAAAGCCAGCACTGCTGCCTTGACATCTTTTACACCTTGGTGCCCACTGGTGGTATACACTTTTGCTTCATTCTTTCATTAACGTGACAGCACATTTTGAGTGTTAAATTTAAAGTCTGCAAAGACTTATGTGGAATTTTTAAAAATGCTTTCTCCCTTTCAGAAAATAGGTACATGAACGAGAGTTGAAATGTTGGAAATTGTAGGGAATGTAAAACTGCTTTGTCTTCTCTTCGCTTCCTGTGATGGGCAATATGCGTCATTTGATGAACTCCATCATCAGGAGATCATAGAAAGACCATCTAGAAGGCTGACTTTCCACTGTTGCCCAAAACTGGTCCAAATTAGTTTCTCAAATAGTTCAAGACCTCTGGATTGCACCAGTATTATATTTCCTCAGATATCCCCATAAAAGCTTTTCCCACCCAGTTGAATATATTGCCCTTCAAGTCAAATGAAGCCCCCAAAAATTTCCTCAAAATTTTAAAGTTTATTTTCGAAATGATGTTTTATTCATAAAACTAAATAACCCTTAATAATAAGTTTCATTGCCATGATGTAATGTGGTGTCATAAGAAAAAGGTGTTTTTTTTCTACTAATATGGCTGATAATTTTGTGTGTCTTGATGATTTGAAGAGAAAATAGTTTACTATTTCTTAAAATTATTTTATAGTACTTAAAAAGTAACCTTGTTTTCTTTGGAGCATAAGAAAAAAATGTGTCTGAACTTCATCAGTGAATACACTGAAAACTAATCACCCTCCATTTCTCATCTGAAATCTTAGAGCCTCATTCATTCAGACACAAGAACAGGCGGAAAGAGTCCATCGATGTGAAGTCTATATCGTCTCGAGGCAGTGATGGTAAGAAGCTTCTCATTTTTCTTTTTAAAATGTAGAAAATGGCAGAGGAACATGTTCAGGAATTTCTCAGCATATAAATAAACTCCAAGGAGTAAGATTGCAACTAAACTGTCTTTTTCCCCCAGTAAGCTGAAAATTTTATAAATTCTCTTATGCTTTCTACAGTCTTTGTCTTCTCTTTGAAGTGACTCCATGCTGCTTATTCTTTGATAGCCTGAAGCGTGTTGGGCCACACAACCACCAGAGCAACTCACTTTCAGCAGCTAGCCAGCGTCATTCTTGGTGCTAGTGGCAGAGAGAGGACCAGAGTCCTGGCTTCCCAGTTCTACCACAAACCCAGTTTTCAGCATATCTGCTTACTTTCCCTTAATAAAATGTCACCGAGAAACTGAGGCAGAATTCAGCAAATCATTCCATGAGATTAGTCAATCAGGACTAAGTAACCAGTTGGATTTGCGGGAAGATGGAAAAGTTGAAGACAATTCTGAAATTTCTTTCCTAGGTGCCTGGGAAGTTATAAGTAATATTTACAGAAATAGGAAAGTCTCTGGGTATAGCTAGGTTGGGAGTTGAGAAGACAACGAGTTTTATTTTAGTGGAGTTGCCGAGGAAGCTAACGTGCAAAACTGGGATTGGGGACTAGAGATTTGGAATTGGGAGTCCTGGAGGTGACAGATGAAGCCATGAGCAGAGGAACATCTTTATGGGCTGTGTGTGAGTGCGTGTATGGTAAAAGAACAGAGGGTCTAAGCTCAAGCCTGAAGGCACACCCTCAGTCAGAGGGGAGGTAGAGGAAATAGGGCTAATGCGGAGGACAGAAGAGCTGGAGGTGAGCCCTCTGAGGACAGCGTCATATGAACCAAGAACTAAATGACACCTAGAGAGAGCAGATGGCCAGCAGTGTAGATGCTACAGAGATCAGAGGGCCTCAGAGCTGAGAACAGACTAATAGGTTTCACTCATTCATTTGGTTTTTATTTGGCAAGTGGGAGGACAGGTTCTAGGAGCCTGAGGAAGGGATGGTTAGTGCCTGTGATAGGAAGCAGGGGCGCGGGGGTTACCTAAGGGAACAAATGGAAAGGTCAAGTGAAGGACTTCCCAGTCCTTCAGGTCGTGATGGGAAGCCTGAGTATGAGAAAAGTGGCTGAAATAGCAAGGAGCGAAGACGCTAGAGACAAGGTGGATAATTCATAGAGCAAGATAGAGCATTCGAGGGGCTGAGACCAAGAATGTGAGGAAGAGAATATGGGGTGGAATATTTCAAGATGGGTTGAGGGTGTAGATAGAACATTTTAGATGGAGAGGATAACGGATGTGGGGATTTAAACTGGATTAGCTCAGTTTTGGGAGCAGAGCTGGAGATGGGGTCGTCCCCTCCTGCATGGGCGAAGGGGAGGTTGCAGAGTGAAGACGGCAGCAGGAGAGGACCACGAGAGAGCAGCAGACAGGCTCTGTTGGTGTTAGCTGGATTAAGTGGTCCCACTGATAAAATGGGATCCTGTTCCTTCTGCATGCCACATGGGGGTGGTAGGAGGATCTGATGAAGACCACATGTTAGCACTACCTATTCAAAAAATAAAATTATTTTTAAATGAAAATTTCTACAGATTAGAACTAGTACCACCGTGGGTTTGTAAGGGCTCAGGAAGGGGAAGTGTCTGGCTCTAATTCATGCTGAGAATGGGCTCAGTCTTCTGCCCCCACCCTAACCATGGACCATGCCTCCCCTCCCATGCTGCATGGCCAGCAGCTTAACTGAAAGTGACGGAACTGCCCAAAGTGGGCATAAGTGACATGTGGGAAAGTGAGTCCTGGGAAATCATTAGGATGTTGGGATAAGGACTTAGAATCCCATCAAGCTTCTCTGAAATTTCCCATGTTGACCTGGCTGAGACTCGTCAAGCCCTCCTGTCACCAAAGATCCAGGCCAATCCACCTTTCCAGACTCAGACAAGTAGTGGATGAGCTGTCAGCCTCTCTGGAATTAGAGATGGGTGAATTCATTGTTTTTGGCAGGGGGAGGGTAGTCCTGTGAGAATCAGGCCCCCAGTCCAAGAAGGGATCCCTTGCCAAGCTGAGCCACCAGAACGGGATACAACTTTCTTGCCTTCTCTCCAGCACCAAGCCTACAGAATCGTCGCTATCCGTCCATGGCGAGGATCCACTCGATGACCATCGAGGCTCCCATCACCAAGGTGAGCAGCAGCTGCTGCCTCCACTCTGCAGTCAGGGCCACCTAGGACTGGGCTATGTTCTGGATATATGGGGACAAGTGACATACTGCTGATATCATGGAGCTTACAGTAGTGGAAGAAACAGATGTTGAGTACATAAACATGTAATAAATAAATAAACCTATAGTTGTAAATTACAATAAATGATATGAAGGCCAACAACAAGGTTCTTGAAGCAAGCCTCGAAGCAGGAGAAGATGTTGGTCAGAAGAGGGGAGAGAGGACTCCAGGTCACATGAAGAGTAAGGGAAGAGCACTGAGATGGGGAAAGGGGATCGCAGCATTCGAGGGCTGAAAGAAAGTCAGCGTGGCTGGAACTTGGCGGGCAGAGGGGAGACAGTGATAACGTGGGTTGTGCAGGGCTCAGCTCTTTCTGGTCAGTTGAGCCATGATAAGGAGTTTGTATCTTAGTTTGTGTGCAGCAGAAACCACAGAAGAGTCTAAAGTGGGGGCTGTGCTTGTTGAAAAGAACACCCAACTGCTATGCAGAGAGTGGATTGGAGGTGGCAGGAGTGCAAAAGTCTCCTTGCCAGGTTGGGGCTTTTCTCGAATTCCAGGCAAGAAATTTGGTATCTGGGCTAGAATTTAGCAGTGGAGGTGGAGAGAAATGAGCAGATCAAGAAATATTTACGGGTAGAACCAACTGGACTTGGTAATGAATTATATTGTCAAGGTGGGGAGTGGAAAGAGGTCAAGAGGGCAAGTGATGTGTCAGGCAGGGCCTCCCAGATTTTTGGTTTGAGCATGAGGTGGATAGAAGTACTTTTTACTGCAGTGTAGAAACCAGAGAAGGAGAACAGCTTTTGTCTTTGATTTTTTTAAATTTTTTTAAAATTTTTTTTTGGTATTTGTTTATTTGCTTGCTATGAGGAGAGGGAAATAAGATCATGAGTTTAGTTTAGGACATGTAAGAAAGATAGTCCAGTAGATGTGTCAGGCAGACAATTGAATATACAAGTCTGGAGGTCAAAAAGGAGGCCAGGGCTGGGAGGTAAATGTGAGAGTCCTTGGCTACGCATCTTATGTGTCCAAAGTCATGGAAACACAGTATCATTTCTGGAAGGACTGTAGAGTGAGAGACAGGCTCAGGACCGATCTCTGAGGAACTCCAACCTGTAGATGAGAGCTAGAGGAGGGGGATTAGTCAAGGAGGCTGACAAAACGTAGTCCCTGAGGTGGGAGACCCGCAGGGGGCACGGGATGGCAAGCGGGCTCCAGCAGGAGTGGGCGGTGCCGTGAAGGCACAGGGCATTTGAACGATAAGCTGTGTTATCACCTGATTTCTTTTGGATTCTGGGCATGTGAAAGACTTTGGGAAGTAGAATCCTAATATACTGAAATGTATTCTCTCTCTCTCTTTCTTTGCTTTCCTAGGTTATAAATATAATCAATGCAGCCCAAGAAAACAGCCCAGTCACAGTAGCAGAAGCCTTGGACAGAGTTCTAGAGATTTTACGGACCACAGAGCTGTACTCCCCTCAGCTGGGCACCAAAGATGAAGATCCTCACACCAGCGATCTTGTTGGAGGCCTGATGACTGTGAGTAATAAGGAAAAGCCAGACATGCAGGGGAGGCGACAATCAATGCACTCTAGCATACATCTGACATATGAAGTGTCACCTATAGTTGCAGAAATACCTGTTGTATTGACTAGCATCAGCATAGCCAGAAGTGACTGCATCAAAATCTATGTATTCTATGTATGGGGGCATTCAAGTGATCTTGCATTTATCTTTCCACGAGGCTGGCTGGCCAGCCAGAGCAAAGGAGACAGCCCTTCAGAATGTGTGTTACAGTAAGGAGTAAGTAGGCAACTGACTGAGGGCTAAAAATGCGGGATGGGGGTGATGCAGGCCCTTGTTCACTTCCTGTTCTTGATCTAGGACAGTACTGGATTGAAGGTCATGGCTCAATCTCCTTGGTCCTCAGACTCTTCATCTATATAATAGGATTTGTACCTAGACTACAGCAATTTCCAAAATCTTAGCTGTAGAATCCTTTCTTTAAATAAAAGTTTATGTAGAAGTTCCATTGATAATCAGTTAAAGGCAGAGTCGAGCTGTCCTGGCTCAGTAGGGGCAAGGGGAGGAGCCAGCCTCTTCCAGCTCTCCTAGAAGCACCATCTGAATCACCGAGAGGCTGATTTCTAAGGTTCTGGGGTTTTGCTGTGATCTATTTGGCTTTAATCATCATCTACCAGCAAGTGGAGAAAAAGAAGAAAATTCAAATTATTCATCTGTGCTCTCCATCAGAGGCTGAAGCTGGAAAAATTCCTTAGGAGAAAAAGTCCAAGAGTCACCCATGATTTCTACTTTGAAGGTTTCTGTCTAGCCTTGCCACCAAATGCTGAGTGTTGGCTGGCTTTCCGACCCATTCGCTGCCTGCAGCTTGAGTGACCTCCTGTTCCATTCCCCTGGGCTGGCGTTGGCCGCCCACCCCAATGCAGTGTGGACCTCGGCTTCTAGAGAGCACTGGCAAGGGTCTAGCGAGAGGGCGGCCACTGCAGAGCTGCAGCAGAAGGATTCCGGTTCCAGGCACGAGCTGTCTGCCCTCCCTCCCCTGCTGCCATACCATCTTGGGTTTCCTCTCCAGATAATGGTGTGAGGAACCAGTGCAGAATCCCATCTCATTTGTGGGGAAGTGGAAAGAGAGAAGAAAGGCGAGGAAAAATAGAGGAGTCTCTTGCAATACCTGCCTTAGAGGCAGGACAGTTGTGGCTATTGTTACTTATCTATTTATCTAAGTTTTAAAATTAAGCTCTTGGCCTAAAGATCCAAAATGTAACTTCAGGGAAGTCCTTCATTAATATTATTTTAAACCTTAGTATTTTCTGGGGATGATAGGTAAACAATTGTAAATGACTTTTAAGCAAAGTTCTAAATGATTCAAGAACATTTGGGGACTAGTTCAAGTTCAAGAGCTAGTAAATGGCAGAACACTGGAATTCTGTGTACTCTTTTAAGTTGCCTCTCCAAAAACCTCAAAATCCAGAAACTTTTCTTAAAAGGCTAGCAGCAGTGTACATGTTTCAAAGCAGAAAATGCAGTTGGAAAGAAAGTAGTTGAGATATTAGCTCAACCTTTTAAAAACTTTACATTAGAAAGTCATCCCCAAAATGTGGTCCATGGCTTCGACTCCTCAAAATATAAATCTAAGAATACAAGAAAAACACAGTCCCTATGAGGGTGAGTGGGGTCCCTTCAAAGTTACATGTATCCAAAGCAAGATTGCTTCTGTGATTTCGCTTATGTGGCTTCAGGATGCCAGAAGAAAAAGATGGCATGGGGACAGAGCCAACCCACGCTCAGGTGTGAGGCCTGAATGCCGTCACGTCCACTGTACGCGGACTCTCCGCCTGCTGGGACTGGTAGCCATGCAAGGCAGACTATCGTCAGTTTTGCAGCTGTTGTTCTGACTTAATGTTAAGCTCTGTTTCAACTTGAAGGTCCAGACTGATTGGGTTTTTCAGGATTCAGATCTCTGACTGATGAAGGAATGAGAGATCCATGATGACAGGACATAAAGCACGCTTCTAACAGCATCTTCTTTATTCCAGGATGGCTTGAGAAGGCTGTCAGGAAATGAGTACGTGTTTACTAAGAGTAAGTTTTCATCTGTCCACTGGTCATGATAACCTCTCTCCAGCACATGCTGTCCCCAGTGTCGTGATTATTGTTCAGGGAGGGCCTTGGTGTTACTTCCTGTTGGTCTCATTTGAGTTCATCTCTGTGATCTACATTTGAAACTAGGTCTTGTATTTAAAATTACTTTTCTGAGCACTGTTAGAATAAGAATTGTACAGCTCTATACATTTAAGCAGACAGTTAAATTCAATTATTTTTCTGTTGGCGGGGGATGTGTTTTTCTGTTTAATAACATAAGAGAACCTTGAAGTGAAAATCTTCCTACTCTTGGAAGTTCAAGACTTTCTAGTAGTAACCAAGAAGTAGTAACCATGATGACAGATGCTCAGGGACACTCACGATTCCACATTTAACCAACTTCCCTCACCCATCTGTTTGTCCAGATGTACACCAGAGTCACAGCCACCTTACGATGCCAATAACCATCAATGATATTCCCCCTTGTATCGCTCAGTTACTTGATAATGAGGAAAGCTGGGACTTCAACATCTTTGAATTGGAAGCAGTTACCCATAAAAGGTATGTGACTTCTATGGCTGCAGCAGGGCAGGATTGATGGCCATGCTCAAGACTTGCACATCTGGAAACTCTGAGGGAAACATATGTCCTTGCCACAAGAGGCCTCACAGGTTCTGCCTTTCAGGCTATGCCGAAGGAATGTTGAGTGAGCAGAGAGACCATGGGCCCTGAGTGGGCTCCTTTGTGGAGAGAGAGTGTTAGTGGGTATAAGATGTGGGAGCAGCTCGAGTGTCCTCAGATCTATTCAGGTCACCCCTTTGTACCAGTAAGTCAAGAGTTCTAAGTATTCTTAGCCCCGAACTGGTGGAAGTTCCACCCTACAAAATGAGTTTGATATAAGATGTGGGAGCAGCTCGAGTGTCCTCAGATCTATTCAGGTCACCCCTTTGTACCAGTGAGTCAAGAGTTCTAAGTATTCTTAGCCCCGAACTGGTGGAAGTTCCACCCTACAAAATGAGTTTGAGAGGGCCGGCCCGGTGGTGCACTGCTACAGTGCACTGCTTGGGAAGCGCGGTGGCGCTCCCGCCGAGGGTTTGGATCCCACATACAGACCGGCCGCTCACTGGCTGAGTGAGGTGCGGGAGCAACACCGAGGGTTGCGATCCCATTGCCGGTCCCGGTCCGGTATGGGCGCGACACTGAGGGTTGCGATCCGTTGCCGGACATGAAAAAAAAGACAAAAAGGAAAAAAAAAAAATGAGTTTGAGAGCACCGTAGATTTTTCTTTGACTCCATCCTGCAGGCAGGGGAAAGATCAGGTAACTATAAGGTCCTCTTCTATAGAAATAATTTGGATTGACCACCATGAGACACCAGGTTCCAAAGAAATGGCTGGTGAGGAGGCTCTACCTCTTGCAAATTTTGGATTAGATGTTTTTACACTCCTCTGCGGGGGTTATCATCAAAAGAAAAATGCCTCCATTCTCCAATATCATCAAAGGAAACAGTTTCTGAGCCGGTGAATACAATGAACCTGGGTTTGTTTTCCTGTTTTCCAGGCCATTGGTTTATCTGGGCTTAAAGGTCTTCTCCCGGTTTGGAGTATGTGAATTTTTAAACTGTTCTGAAACCACTCTTCGGGCCTGGCTGCAAGTGATTGAAGCCAACTACCACGCCTCCAATGCCTACCATAATTCCACCCACGCTGCAGACGTCCTGCATGCCACTGCCTTCTTCCTGGGAAAGGAGAGAGTGAAGGTAGAATGTGATATAATGATGTAGTTACCTGCCTGGATTGGAGAGCCATGATTCGATCACAGTAAATACATTAGGCAAGCATCTGTTTTGCAACCAATTTGACAGTGTTTTTCTGGCTACCAAATTGACCAGTCATTTTGGTGTTGTAAAAACATGGACCTTTCTCCCCCAATGCTTAAAATAATAACTTATGTCACTATAGAGACCCCTTTATATGTGTGGCTGGTCCATGAACCCCTTCTCTAAATGTTCACTAGGAGCTCTATGATACTGGGTTGCAGGACAGAACTTAATTATTATAGCCAATGGTTACTAGGTCTAGAGGTTAAGTTTTAGTATCAGGATTTGGCCACTGGTATATTACAATCCAGATAATAATGAACTATTCAGCTTTCTACTGATTTACATAGATGTGCGTGTGTGTTGTATGGCTGTAAATGTGTATAGCTGTATATTAATGACTTTTGCATAATTCTGAAAGAGTTCCATTTCCCTTAGTCTTACTTAGAGTTTGATACTGTCATGTACAGGTGCTGATTTATAGGGCAGCCCTATGTACTCTCCATGTAAAGCTGGCAAAATATCCCATCTCCCCTCCTTCACAACTGTAGTCACTCACACAATGAAACTTGTGACTACCTTTGCTGCAATTGGAACTGAAGCTTAAAATCTAGATGCCCCTGGGAGAAATGCCATATAAAGACTGAAATTCACATCACTCTGTAAATGCCTGTTATCAGATCACTTTCTTAGTACAGGTGTTGATGAGGGATTAAGACCCTGGGTACTCAGAAAAAGTGATAGTGTAGCGGGACAGGTAGGAGCAGAAATGGCACTAAAATGAACAGGGGGGGATGTTTCCTTCTCAGTTTTGCTAAAGGCTTACCCTGTTATTTACTTTCATCAGTCAGAGAAAAAAAGAATGTGGTCCAGGAATGATGCTTGTGAAGATTTTTGTCTTCTACTTTAAAAAAAAGGAATAGTGGTTATTAGCCTGTGTTTCTATAACACCTTTCTTTGAGGAGCTTCTCAAACACCCCTGGATTCCTACCACAGGTTCGCACTCCTGCACTTCACACTGCTGAGGTCACACACTGCCAATTGAGAACAGCACCCAGCTCATTAACACCAAGACTAAAGTGATCTACAGGTGCTGCAGTCTTGAGTTAGAGGTGAACTGCACTTAAGCAGAACCACTCTGGGAAAGCATAGATTGTTCAATAAATTAGGGAATGCTTATTCACTTTATCATTTCACTTACTACCCCTCTTCCAAAAAAAGTAGTTTTCTTAAGTTATGAAGTTCTGCCAGTGTACTCAGAGTGTGATTGAATTTTTCAAATAACAGCAATAGAAACAAGCCTAAGACTAGATAAAATATGCTTACAATTCAAAAGACATGTTCTAACTGTGGCAGCTTCTGCCAGAGAATCAGGAAATTTACAGCAGCAAGAAATCTTGGAGAATTGGGCTGGAGGGAGCTCCTGAACTCAGAGGTTTAGTCACAGTCCAGAAGCACTGGTTAGTCACCGTAAGTGCTTCCAGCAGGACTTCCTTCTGAGGCCTCTTCCACCAGACCCACTGCCGCTGATGAAGAGGGTCGGGAAAAGGAGTTTTTACCTCTTCTTTGCATCATCTGTCACCCCTAATTTCTTTATACAATAAAGCTAACATTCATAATGTCACCATTACAAAGCATCTTCAACCCAGCCATAAGAGAACATGCCCAGAGCTGACAGCCCCTTCAATTTGTTACGGACCCCATACTCTCCCCGCTCTTACCCGATTCCCAGGAGCCACTGCAAGTGGAGAGGCCAGGACAGACAGTATTTCTGTTGTAGTCTCTGGGCATAAGTGACTATTTATCCTGGATAAAAGCTATTTGAAAGGCTGATCTAGAATGGAAAGCATTCTGGCTAATCCTCCTCAGTGTGATCCAAATGGTTAAAGAAGGAAAAAAACTATGCAGAGACAGATGTCTGCACCTCCAAGGGTTGGGGTTTCACCAGTTGCAGGTTTGGTGGGGTTTTCTTCCATAGACAGTCCCTCCCCCACATAGGAAAGGCCTTGCTTCTCTCCTCTGCTAGTGAGCTAGCCTGGTCTTCTTTCCCCACCTCCCAGCCATCTTTTATCAGATGATGCATTGTTAGAGCCCACAAGCCTGCAGGACATGGCCCATTGTTGGCATCTTTGTATAAGTGCCATTGTGATTGAGTTTTTGGTTTAAATTAGTGGAAGGTGGAAGGAAAGACATGTCTCATCTACTGCTACTTATGTTTTTACTTGGATCTATTTCATTGAAGAATTTAGAAATGTATTGGCCCCAGATAGCAAGCAGGATTGAACATACTGCTGGAGCAATAGCTGGAGGCCCCGAGTTTGGGCCTGTGGCTCCTCACTGCACAAGTAAAATCAGAAGACAGAGCTTCTGGGTACTGAGCTTGGAGAAAGCTGACTGTACCTGCAGGTTATTGTGGCCTCTTCCGACCAGCAGTGAAGTGTGACCAATCATGCTTGCTTGCCCTGAGCACTACACAGTCATCTCTGAGAAGAGCCGAAAAGAATATAACATCTGTGCCTGTTCCTGCTCAGAAAGCATGGTCATGTTGACTGGGGCCAACCCAGACTGCTCACCAGCTCCACGAGGCCAGGATTCAAAGCGGAGATGGCTCTCTCCTGGTGGGAACAGAGCTTTAGGGAAAGCCCACAACAACCCTAAACCAACGCAAGCGTGTGAAGCCCAGCAGCCAGCCAGGATGTCAACAGGGCTGAGCTTCAGATTCACTGTTCCTCACCTGAGAAGCAGTTTTTCCTCCCACCAGCCTGTGAGAGGAACATAGGAATACCAAGAGTTATGGCCACCTCCCCAGCCTCATCTTGGGGACCACTGTCCCTCACTCACTATCCTACAGCCCAATGATGCTCTTTAGGTTTCCCAAATCAACCCCTTTCTTTCTTTGACCTCAGGAGCTTCTACAGGCTATTCTTTCTGCCTGGAATTCTCTCCCTTGCCACTTGTTGCCTGACTAGTTCCTGCTTATCCTTCAGTCCTTCCCTCACCCTCTGGACCCATGTTATCCAGTATGGTGGCCATTAGCCACATGTTGCTGCTAAAGTTAAAGTTAAAAGTTTAGTTCCTCAGTTGCCCTGGCACATTTCAAGTGTCCAGTAACTCCGTGTGACTAGAGGTCACTGTATTGGCTAGCATAGACACAAAACATTTCCATCATCACAAAGTTTACTGGCCAGTGCTGCCCTGGACTAGATCAGGCCCCATGGTTAGACTCTCAAAGTATCTGTACTTTCTTTCTTAGCACATCTCACAGAAAGTCACTTCTATTTGTGTTTTTAAATGTATTTCTCTATATTATAAACTCCATCAGTGCAGAAACTGTGCCGGTATAAATCACTGTAGCTCCGGCACTATGCGTGATAACTGGTACCAGTAGGTACCCAATAAATAAATACTGAATGAATTCATAGCATGATGTCTCTTATATAACAATGGCCATTTGCTAACTTCCTCCTAAAGCTTGCAAGTGAGAAAACATCTGAATACTCTGGTTTATGTTCTTTAGCTACCTAATGAGAGCTTTAGAAAGAGGGGTTCTCTTTTTGCCTTTGCTGCCTGCTAGCCCAGAACTGAGTTTTGTTCTTAGCTGCAAGAGCCCCCTTAGCCTGGCTTTTTCTGGTGGAAGTATTCTGCTCACCCTGATCCTTTTTTACCACTTGGCTCTAATCATTTTATCATTGTGTGGATAGTTTTGTTGTATCTGTGCCATTTACTACCAGCACTCTCAAAATCCTTTTTCAGAAGTAGGCAAATCAAATAAGTAGTATTTGTGATCATGGCTGCCTTCTCCTGTATCTGCTCATGGGAGAGTCACAGCAATACCAACCAGTGGGCGAAGTCAAGGGGCTGCTTGGCTTCTTTCTGTAAAAAGGGAGTGAAGTGACCCTGGGGAAAGAATTTAGGTATCTATTGTAACTGCAGCTCATATTCCCACTTCTCTCCAGATAAAACACAGCACAGTAAGGTGAGGTGACATGTCCAAGGCTGCCTCTCAATGTCTAGGAAGTCAAAGAAGGCTTGGCATACTAAAAGAACATTCTGGAAATCTCAAATCCCCCGGCCCCTCCTCCATCCAAGAGACAGGGATGGATGTAGGTCTTAAAAGTCCGGTACCCACTGGTTACCCTCCTCAACCTCATTTCCCCCTTATCCCAGGGAAGCCTCGATCAGCTGGATGAAGTGGCAGCCCTGATTGCTGCCACAGTCCATGACGTGGATCACCCAGGAAGGACCAACTCTTTCCTGTGCAACGCGGGCAGTGAACTTGCCGTGCTCTATAATGACACTGCTGTCTTGGAGAGCCACCACACAGCCCTGGCCTTCCAGCTCACGGTCAAGGACACTAAATGCAACATTTTCAAGAATATTGACAGGTTTGTTGTGTTTGGGCTCCTATGCTCAGGTTTGTGACATTTAAGTGTGAAACTCAGTTTTCTCTAACTTCTCCAAAGAGCTTTCTCTTATTGGAAAGAGGAAATAAAAATAGTTGTACCATTGTATCAGATGATAAAATAATAACCTTGCCTTTATAAACTTCATTTTACTTTTCAGACTGCCTTCATGTTTTTAAATCTCATTTGGTCTTCAGTGAGTTCATGAAAATGTTTTTATATGCTGCAAAAGCACTACGTAAATATTGACTGTATTACTAGTAAGTATAGCAGATATTTTTGCCCTCTTAGGAGGAATTCCCATCTTTGGTGTAACTCAAGGAAAATGTATCCTTCCCTGTCTCACCCCAGCTCAGTTTTTTTTATTTTGTTTTTGTTTTTGTATTGACTGTATTACTAGTAAGTATAGCAGATATTTTTGCCCTCTTAGGAGGAATTCCCATCATTGGTGTAACTCAAGGAAAATGTATCCTTCCCTGTCTCACCCCAGCTCAGTTTTTTTTATTTTGTTTTTGTTTTTGGTCCTTTTTGAGACTGGCCGCACCGCACTCAGCCAGTGAGCGCTGTGAGCGCACCAATCATCCCTATATAGGATCCCAACCCGCGGCGGGAGCGCTGCTGCACTCCCAGCGCCGCACTCTCCCGAGTGCGCCACGGGCTCGGCCCAGCTCAGTTTTTGACCACTTGAAATCCTTACCTCATGAGGAGGTCTCAGTAGAGGTGCTGGAGCCCAAAACCTGCTGCGCAAGTTTTCTTCTAGACAAATAATCTCTTCCGGTGAGAGCTGGCCAAATGTGGATAGATTACTAGCAACTCCCCTCGCCTTCCAGCAACCCTCACGGTCAGCTTATAGGTGTTTCCCACGCAGCCCCAGCCAGGCTGTGGGCAGACTCCTGGGAGAGGGCAGTGTGCAGGGAGCGTGGAGCTTGCACAGGCCTGGGGACCACTTGTCTATGTCAACCTATCAGTTTGGTTTCCAGAAATCTGGGAAGATATGGAGGCCAGTTGTTCCACCTTCAGCTTAAGTTTCATCATTTTCAAGGACTGGTTTTTAAACTTTTGCAGAAAGAATTCTTTTTTAACAGCTTTCAGGCTCTTGAAGTTAGAAAAAAGATGATAGGAACGGGACAGTAATTTTGGGCAGGGCTGTTGCTCTGTCTCTTATAACTTCTATCAGTTGCAGTCTAGAGAATTACTTATTAACAGGCAACTTTCTTCCAATACCATCATCAAAAGAAATCATGGCAATTCTCTGCAATGGGAATCACCGTGTCTGCACGGAACGCAATGGGACAGCTCGTCAGGCTGCTGTACCAGCCTGTCATTTCCCTTAGCCCCATTGTTTTGATGCTCTCAAAGGAAGGTAGAAGGAAATCATCTTGTGAAATAAGTGCCCACCATGTGACAGGTACTTTCTTTTTGTTTTTTTAAATATTCATAAATCATATGAGGAAGGGTCAGCTATCACTGGGGAACATGAAATAGTGTCTACAAGTCCTGGCTTTCTGGGAGGATGAGCAGGTGAACTCTTTCGTGATCTGCACTCATTTCTTAACTCTGTGCCCCAGTTGCCTCCTAGGTTGTAGGATGTGTGATGAGATGCTGGCAGAACAGTTGTAATTCAGGACACGATGTGAACCAGACCTTTTGTCTTCTGGTTATTTTAGGAATCATTATCGAACACTGCGCCAGGCTATTATTGACATGGTTTTGGCAACAGAGATGACAAAACACTTTGAACATGTGAACAAATTTGTGAACAGCATCAACAAGCCAATGGCAGCTGAGGTGAGCATTTCCCAAGTCATAAGATACATCAGAGTGCATTTTCATAAGTACCTACTCTGGCCTCAAAACATTTTTCTCTACCTCTTGAGTGCAAGGTGGTTAGTTGTTTACACTTGGTAAAGGGCTGAAAGTACTGGCCACTTGTTTTCCTTAGGGATGGAAATGATTGACAGTATCTATGGCAACTCTGAGCTCCTTGAAAGAAAGGCTCTGAGATAAAGCCAGGAGTAACAAACGGGATTAGGCTCAAAGAATATGTGGAAGGAGACTGCAGACAAGCAGAGACTGGCATAAATGATGGTATTTTAGGGGATCCAAAGACCTTTCAAATTCTCTGTTCTTTGAACTGTTGGCAGACCTCAAAGTTGGAGAATATGTTAAAGAATTATATTCCTGCTGATTTGCATTAAAAACATACAAGTACCTGAAGACTATAGTAACATTGGGAGTGACTAGAAAACAAAAGCATATGTTGTTTTCTCTTTTTTAAATGTATTGAGGTACCTTGGATCTCAATTAAGATTCTTACAAATTTGGGTTTTAGGAACATGGGAGAGAAGGTTCATATTTCTATTGTTTAAAATGAGATCAATTGTCCTCTGAAGCTATGAAGCTGTTCATAGTCCCATAAAGGTTGAAAAGCTTTCCACTCACTTCTGTTGAGGAGAAGAGGTTAGAGAAGTGGATGGAGGATGAATGGTCAATTTAAATCATCCTAAAAGTAACTTGACCATCAGTAAGGAGACTATCTGTGTAGTACTCATCACATGACCAGCCTGGATGGAGGGACAGTGTTCACCTCACTTGTCCAGCCACATCCCCCAGAGATTCCACAGCACAATGCCAGGGCCCTCTCCTCCCACAGAGGACCTATGGGAGCAAAGATCTGGAGATTTAGAGGGGGAAAATTATACAGAAACAGAATTGGTGAGGTCATCTATCCAAGTAATCCCCCAGCTCTGTGTTGAGACTTACTATTTCCGTGGTATCTATAGTAACCAGCCCCTAACTTTGTATTGAGAGTTACTATTTACTATAGTGTCTATAGGAAGCAGCATCTTCTCAATGGTAAGTAATCAAAACAACCTTCAGAACATATTCTTCCCAGGGGTGGGCCAATAAATAGGTCCAGTCTCAAAACAAAACCCCTACATGTCATGCAATGTTTCAGCTTGGCAGAGCTCTAGAGAGCTAATTAACTTTTCACACAGTCAATTCAATGGTGTCTTTGAAAGTGGAGAGTAACAATCTTCCATGTTCTTTATATTTGGCCTGTGAGTGCATTAATATACACCTACCCACAGACCCGGCCACATGACTCAGGACCACTGATATCCACCACTAGGTATGTACCATTGTATGGCCAGTCTTTTTAAACATGGCTGAACACACCTGCTCCTGCCCGGCCTACTTTCTGCTCCAAGTACCACAAACTTACATGGCTCACACTCTCTATCTGTCAGAAAAACAGCCAAGAAAACACGAGAGGACACATGCCTTAAGAGAAACAAAGTGGGAGGGAGTAGGTGAGTAGAAGACTGGTCATAGGAGAGAGAGGGCTGACAGGTATAATAAGTAGAAATAAATGAAATAATTGAAGGGTCACATGTATGTGCTATTTCTCCACCTTTAATGCATTAACTGGAAGCTCTGCTTTTATACATTTTTATACATTTTCTGATAAATATGGTCAAAACAAAAACAAAACCTGCTTGTAGTAGTTGCCTCTGGGGGAGAGGATGGAAGATGAGGTGGTAGATAGGTGATGATAGGGACTTTTACCTTTTAAACTGTTTGTGTTGCTCGAGTTTGGTTTTGGTTTTATTTATTTATTTATTTATTTATTTTTCCTTTTTGTCTTTTTTCATCGCAACCCTTGGTGTCACGCCCGCACCGTGCTCAACCAGTGAGCGGACCGGTCTCTATATGGGATCCGAACCCTCGGCGGGATCACCGCCGCACTCCCAAGCGCCGCACTCTACTGAGTGCGCCACTGGGCCGGCCCATTGGTTTTATTTTTTAAAGACTATATCAGTATATTATATATGGAATTAAGAAAAGGAAAAGCCTCCTTTGCAGAGTTCCAGTCCCACCAAAGTGTGCATGGGTGGTCACCATTTAATGCCTGCTGAGTTAGCCCTTGTGGGCTTCACCATCATCTTGAACCAACTTTGATCTGCTCATCTGTTTTCCAGATTGAGGGCAGCGACTGTGAATGCAACCCTACTGGGAAGAACTTTCCTGAAAACCAAATCCTGATCAAGCGCATGATGATTAAGTGTGCTGATGTGGCCAATCCATGCCGTCCCTTGGACCTGTGCATTGAATGGGCCGGGAGGATCTCTGAGGAGTATTTTGCACAGGTGCGTTGCCTCACTACGGAGGCTCTATGTCCCTTCAGGGAACGGGCCACCAGGTCATAGACTCTGGGGATTTTTCAGCCGAGTAACTATCAATTAGTAAACTATTACTCCCTGGAAGAAAATGGCTCACCCCTGCGTGCCTGGAGTAGACTTGTTTCCCTCAAGGGACTGACTGATGTGGCTGGTCACTAACCAAAGTCTCTCTAGGGGAAGGGGGATAAACAGCCTTTGGAAGTAATTTTTCATCCTCAAATTGTTGGATCTTGAACTTCCACAAAAACTGGGAAATCACTAGGTGATTCCTAGGTTTCATTCACTAGGTTGGTATTGAGTGCCTCCATGGTGCATTACGGGAACACAGACAGGAGTAAGACACATCGCTGCCATGCACAGCTCCCAATCCAGTAAGGGAGAAAAAATGTAGACAGAGATAGGCCCATACGTTGGTGAAAAAAATGAAAAGTACGTCTAAAGGAAGTATGTGTTAAGTGCTATAGGAATTCAGAAAGATTTTTTTCTAGATAAAAGAAGGGCTTTGTGGAGGTGATGTTAGAGTTTTTGTTTTGTTTTTTTAAGGATTTAGAAATGTGGAAATAGGAGAAGACTTCCTGGAAGAATAAAGCTTTATGAGCAAAATTAATAAGGAAGGAAAATAGAATGTTTAAACAAGGGGAGCAGCAATACGTAGTTCACTTTAACTGTGGCAGTGTAAAGAGGGCTTAAAGGAAAAAAATCCAGAAAGCAGCAGACCGTTAGCCCTATTTCCAGAGAAAAGGCTCTCATGACTGATATGTATGTGTATGACAGAGGACAAGTACCCACAAGTAATGCATTTGAGGTTGGGGGGTCTCTACTGCTGGAACGGACTATTGAGGCAAGATAAAGAAGAGTAGGATGAAGGACTGCGCATGATGTCTAGAAGGGCTGGGAGGGGGAATGGCCAGCAGATGACCCAGTAAGTTAACTGCAGCTTTGAAGGCTGGGAAGAGAGCCCCTGAACTGGGGGGAGTAGTTGGGGGGGGAGTAGGACAAGCAGTTCTGAGCTTGCCAGAAAGAAGAGGGTGGGGAAAAGCCCAAACTACTCCTTGAACACCAGTGTGTATTTTCAGGCTGCTTGATCGAACGACCTGAAACAAGCAAGCTGAGCCAAAAGCTGGCAGGAGGCCATTAATGGGCTTCCCAGGACCCACTCACAGAGAACCTGAGGTCCTACTCCTAGTTATTCTCAGAGTGTGTGAATGGGGAAGAACCACTTTTAAGTTCCTTGATGTAAGCATCCTGTTTAGGTGGTCTTTTCCCAAAAAGGAATGTACTAATGTTCACAAGCCGGTGTAACCTAAAAATCAAAAAAAGCTACAAATGAGGCCTCTCATCAGCTGGCTTCTGGCTCAATACACCACGAGGAAATGTGGATCTCAGTATGCAGCTCAGGGAATTACAGCCTCATGCATATGTGTGAACATACGCTTTAACGTGCATAATACTCAAACCCACACACCTTGAGAGCTGCATGGCTTATACCCAAATCTAAATAATCACGGTTTGTCAGACATTCTCTCAAGTAAAAATAGTGTTCTGTAGAAAAAAGCATCTAGTTCAGCTCACAACCTGACGGCAGAAGTGCCCTTCCTCAGGACAGCCACCAGACTTCGGCATGTGGCACAAGTGCTGTATGGGTGCTTCCCGTTTTGTCAAAGGATACTAAAAAACATGTACTCAAAGGTTGAAACTTAATAAAATTAATAACTCTTACTCCTTTAAAGCAGTCATTCTTAAGTGAAACTGGTTTTTTTTAACCGCAAACACATGGCAGTGAATGATGCTACGACTATTACTGTTGGTAGTTGGGTGCCAGTTCCCTGATTCACACTAAGGCGTCAGCAGTGTCGCATCATTGCTTCTGCACCCTCAATGTGAATGTCAGTCGGTAGTACTGGCATGAGTAGAAGTATTGGTATGACTTTGAAAATAGTTGTGACCTTGCAATAATAAAAACAGATCACAGAAAAGGGACTAAGCACCGAGCTCAGTACTTCAGGAGGCACTGTGGAACAGCATAAAAAGTAAGAGATTTGAGAGAGGGAAGACCTGAATTCGTCACTGCAGCTCTTCTGGTGGTTGAGTTACAATTCTCAGGACTTTGCTGAGCCTATGCATATATAAAAGGGAATAATGGCCCATTTTCACAGGGTTGTTGAGAAACAAGATGTTACTGTGATAGCTTCTCACGTGCCCTATGGCCCTGTGTGGTGGTGTTTTCTTACAGACTGATGAAGAGAAGAGACAGGGGCTACCTGTGGTGATGCCAGTGTTTGACCGGAATACTTGTAGCATCCCCAAGTCCCAGATCTCCTTCATTGACTACTTCATAACAGACATGTTTGATGCTTGGGATGGTAAGACAGTACTGTTTTGTCACCCGCAGAAAACATTTTGTTATACTTTACAATGATTACCTTTAATGACATAGGCTGGACCTAGAGGTAAATTAAAAAAAAAAAAAAAAAAAGCTGTCAGCTGTGTTTGCCAGGGAGGGAAGGGTGCACGTACACTTTCTGCCTCCCCAGCACCTGACACAGAACCTTGTGTAAAGAAGACTCAATGGATGTTTGATAACTGGATAAATGTCTTCAAAAGACATGTTTCCAACACTTATGTCAGGTTATTTTTTTGTTTTTTTGCCAGCTGGGCTGGTATGGGGATCCGAACTCTTGTCCTTGATGTTATTATCAATTTTATTTTATCATTGGAGGAAACTCTAGAAAGAATGTGAAATGTATTGAGTCTACTCTGAATCACACATTTTGATGTCACTGATAAACAGCTTTTCAATTTTTAATTAAAAGGACCTCTTTGTATTTCAGAAACTAGTATTTAATGACTTGTTCTTCTCATGCTGTGTGTTCACTTGCAGCCCAGGGCCTAACCCAGGGTACCTCTCCTCCAATTCTGACCCCAAACTTGTCCCAGAGAGCCCTAGCTTTAAATGCTCCTAGGATCTAACAACAGGTTTCTTTTGATTCTTTTATGTCCTTGCAGCCTTTGCACATCTGCCAGCCCTGATGCAACACTTGGCCAACAACTACAAACACTGGAAGACATTAGATGACCTAAAGTGCAAAAGTTTGAGGCTTCCATCTGACAGCTAAAGCCAAGCCAGGGAAGGGGACCTCTTGATCTACAAAGGGCATGGTGAATCATAGTAGTATAACCAAGAGGCTTTCCCTTATAATGAAAATGACAAGTGTAGGTAAAGATGCTAATGTTTAAATATTTGACCTTGAATCATTCAAGTCCCCAAATTTCATTTTTAGAACGTTATATTCCATGAAGAAAAATATATGTTCTTTTGAACAATCACTTAGTGACAGAATCCTTGGCAAACTACCTTGCTCTGCTGTCATCTGCTGTGGGCCCTTGTCAAACCATGGAGCTGTTTCACTGTAATTAGCAGGACACAATAAGCAAAGATTTGGTATCTGAGAACTCATCGCCCTGGAGGGTGACCAAGAAGCTTAGCTAGTGTTCAGCTATCTCTTACCACAAAAGTCACCATGACTCTTTTCTTGACTATTCTCCTCAAGAGCATTGGTCTGAAGGATTCATGAGAAGCTTATCTGAACAGATATTTCTAAGAAAAAAACTACCTAAAATGAGCAAAACAACTAGGACCAAATTATTGATAAACTAATTAGCGTCACAGCCTCCAAGGCTAGGTGAATCTTCCTGTTGGTGGTGTGACACCCAAGTTAGAAAACAGCCACAGCCTGGTGAACAACCTCTCCAGACTAGTATCAGCAGCTGGGTTAGCCCTCTTTTCCATGGCAGGGATTCATCTTAACAGAAAGCTGCCTATGACAGGGAAGGGAGTGGCATCTTGTTTGCGGGGAATCCATGAGCTTCCCTTATCTCTGGTTCACAGAGGCAGCCACAAGGCACTATACTATATAATATATATTTTATATATTATATAAAAGCCATTAAGTCTGAATGCCCTTGGACAAGCTTTTTTAAAAAAGAAAAAATTTATATACCTTTGCTGTTTAAAATTTTTATTCAAACAATCTAAATTTTCTGGGTGAGAGCCCATGGAGTATGTTGTACCGTGCACCACCTATACATATATATTTGGGGATGGGCTACGGGAAGTTTCAAGGTTCAGATATTTTTAACTTATCTACATTTGAGGTCATGCCATTTGCTTAACGATGTAAAAAAAATTGCAAGATGTGTGTATATATCAGAAAATAGGCATATGAGGCAGTAAATACTATTTTCAGCTATTAATTGTATGCTAAAAGCTTCTAAAGCACAAGTGCATATTTTTATACAGCTCTTTTCACACTTTCTGTGATCTACATAAGGTCAGAATTGAGATTTTCCTTTCTCTTTTACCAGCCAACCCTTCTCTCTGTCTTATAAATATTAGAAACTCAGTAAACAAAATACTTTCTCTTTCTCTGAACTCCATGCTGCATTTTTAAAAGGTGTAAACAGAGACTGAATTAATTGAACCAGTTGTTACTTTTTTCCAAATGAAAATTGGAATGCAGAACACTTGGAACTGGTACACGGGAAGAAGAAAATGACTTACCACTATGTAATGTGCCAATGTGTTTTTCTATGTTTTGTATGCAAAATGGAAACATATATGACGACTCCATGCAAAGAAATGTATCTAAATTATTTTTGTTAGATTATAAGAGAACTTGCTTGGTCAGGACAGGAGCCAGCTTTGTATTATAATGCTGCATTATGTAAATGTGAAATATGAAAATGTTTTTGTGAAGTACTTGTAACAAAATTCCTACAGCCATTTTTCATTCCCAACAGCTGTTTTTATTTTATCTCTTTGGCCTAAATTTTTCATAATTTCAAATTTTTGGTTTAGTGTCTTTTATTTCATGCGTCAAACACTTGTTTTCAGAACACATTAATATCAGGATGCCAGAACCCCATAGTATGGAGCTAAATAATTTGCCTAGGCTGCAGAAGATTGCTTGAGGCAAGGACAGTCTTTTTCTAACCATCTCCCTTTCAGTTCCATTTGGTAAGTAACAGTTAATATCAGGATGCCAGAACCCCATAGTATGGAGCTAAATAATTTGCCTAGGCTGCAGAAGCTTGCTTGAGGCAAGGACAGTCTTTTTCTAACCATCTCCCTTTCAGTTCCATTTGGTAAGTAACAGCTATTGGGTGTCTGACACTTTCTATATGAAACATTACAGCTTACTCAGAGTTATGTCAAATTAATTTCATGTTAACTTCAAACTTTAATATTAATACCTGAATGTTAAATGCTGTAAGACAGCCAGGTACTAAAGCTTCAGCACAGTTCTGCTCTTTATCAGCGTAACCTATTACAGTGTAATCTTCTGAGTTGCTAAGTAGTGTAACCACACAGTCAATTTATTAGAAATAATGTCTTTCAGATGGTATGTGTATCATATAGGTATAAACTATTATAATTGCCTCTTAACTGAGATATTTACTAAAACACCATGTATTGAAGGAGCCATATTAATTTAGGAAAATGCAACACTATCTAATCCGAAGAGAAGTCACATTATTACCATTACTACTAACCAGGAGAAAGCAGGTGGTTATAAAATATTATTACTTGGACCAGAATGGCCCTATCATTTCACAATCTATTCCACTTGAATAGATTATCATCACAAAACACTACAGGTTAGGAAATAAAACACTTTAAACTCTATGCATTACTTATATCTTATACAATTCAAGAAAACAGCTTTACAAACTCATAACCTAATATAGAATTTCCAAAGAAAAAGCTAGCTAGTACTGGAGGAAAGTCCATCTATAGGGAAAATTAAAAGCTTGAAAATGACTTTGAGATAACTTAGCCACAGTGATCAACAATCTGACACACCCAGACCCGACCACATGTCTGCCTGGTTTAGGGATACTGCCCTTGCTCCAATTTCAGGATGAAAGATTAGAAGGCTGCCTCTGTGTGACTCTTCAAATACGCCACAGTGATAATGATTTGGTGGCTAAACGGTAGTGCTAATTTTCCCATTCATATTCTTCTATTCTGTAATAGAGGCAGCTTAAGTTTTAATATATTTCTCCATAAAGCTATTTTCATTGTGAATTAAAACAGCAGTAATGACTGTGAATATTATTTTGTTTTCCTCAAGTGGGAGTCATATAGTCACATAAGCCTTTATCTCTCGTTCCAGTCCTCTTCAATTCCTGTTTTAAAGCTGCTCAATGATGATAATGGGCACTATGGAGCTATCTAATTGCAAGGCCTTATTGCCTCACTGGGCCTCAGTTTCCTCATTTACAACATTATGCCACTGGCCTACCTACTGACCATAACTTTTCCAGTCTTTGAGTGTAGGTAGTTGTGGAAGCAACTGTAAATGAATAAACTAGTAAAACCAAGAATTTATGAAAATTCCATTTAGGATGTGCGGGTATGTGCATAATGAACAAATCTACAGAAAGCGTTCTTTGAGAAGGGTCAATCCTCTAACACATCAGTCATCTTGTCTGTTCTATTGTAAGATTCTTTAGTCAGAAGTTTAAATTTAATAAATAATTCTGTAACTAAACCCACCCAATATTTAATGTGTAGAATACTTTTTCATTTTTAGTACCAAACAGGAGAAAGGGTGCTGTAAGGCTGGTGGAGTAATGAGGATGATCAAATCTCAAAGGAACTACATGAGCGAAACCTTTCTCAAGCATTCCATATTTGAGTCAATGGTCAAATGGACTGGGCACTATCACCGGCAGTCCCTGACTTTGGAAAGCACTGTGCCTCCTTGCTGATCTAGCGTTCATCCCTGGCACACAGGAGGGGCAGCTGCAGTTCTAGTTCCAATCTAGCCAACAGCTGTTCAGGCCAATCTGCACCAAGAAAAAAATTGCACCTTCATAAGATTCCTATCAATTTGAGTTCATAGGAATTTTAGTAGCTAGAACTAAAAAAAGAAATTGTTTAATGATTTAAACAGTTAGTACCAAAAAAAATCATTGTACTTAAACAATATATGTAGTTCATTTGGGGGCTGATTCAAGTTTGCGCTATAGAACACTGACATTTACTAAAGACCAGGGAAATTTGGAGGAGAAAGGATATACTTCAGTTTATCAAAAGAATAAAAAAACTTCTAATGAAGGCCATAGCTTTAGTTTTACATCTATTTCCACCTCTTACGAGGTCTAGGTTTCAAATTAAGAAGCTCAAAATAAAGCACTCACCATTTCAACAGCAGCACAAAGTCAAATGTAAAACTTGTGGTATGTTCTTTGTGGATGTACTAATACCTGAGAAGCAACTGTTGCTGGTTTGTACGCCCACAAAAAAGAATTCAAACATGTAGAATTTTATGGGCAAGAAAAAAAAACACACTACATATTTAAGTGTTCAATATATTAATGGTTTTCAGAGTATTACTCTATATTTGATGTTCAAGGTACTTCTAATTCCTTAAATTAGACAGCAAGGTATAAGTCACCATTTTCCTCTAATTTTTGAAATAATTTTAAACTGCGCAATCCAGATTCTCGCTCTCCATTTTTCCACAAAATAATGAGATGATCAGCAGAGCATGTCACTAGTCCATGATCTTCAAAGTATAAAAACATCTGTAAAGAAAAATTAAAACTACTGATTATAGGAACTTCAAGAAGAGGCTAATACTAGATTAACACATGTGCTTGTAAGATTTGTACCTTGGAGACTTCTTTGGATTTCAATTTGTAAAACTCCATTTCACTTTTCATGAGAAATTTCATTTTTAAGTGTTGGTTACAGTCATGTACAAATATGACCAATATCTAATATTTTAATAATCAGAACTTTGTTAAAACCGCTCAACTACACAACTATGAATAACAGCTATTTTTGTAAAGTACATGAATTCCCAAAAAGTATCTTCTGAATTTTACCATAATCTAATTCAAGTATTGGTTTTAAGACTTTGTCAGGTATAGGTTCTTCCACACCTGCTTTACTTAATCATTATTTATGCACAAATGGCTACCCATAAAATGTATGAAATCCAAATTTTCCAAGATAAACACTGGCTTCAGCCCACTATATAACAGTAGATAATCAATAGGCATTTACTGTCTTTTCTGTGCTTATGGTCCCTACCCTCAGGAAGGTTGTAATTCAGTTTTGAAAACCAAATCACAGCTGAAACAATGAGAGCACCAATAAAAGATTATATAATCAGGTACTAAGTACAGTTGATCCTTGAACAACATGATTTGGACTGCATGGGTCCACTTATGTGCAGATTTTTTTCAATATACGTACAGTACTGTATTTTCCTTATGATTTTCTTAATAACATTTTCTTTTCTATAGCTTACTTTATTGTAAGAATACAGTATATGATATATAGAGAGAAAATATATGCCAATCAACTGTTTATGTTTTCGGTAAGGCTTCTGGTCAACAATAACCTATTAGTAGTTAAGTTTTGGGAGAGTCCAATGTCATTGGTGGATATTTGACTGTGTGGGGTGTTGTCACTCCTAACCTCCACATTGTTGAGGGGTCAACCATAATGCAGTAAAGACTATTTAGGAAAAGGGGAAATTGATCAGTAATAACGGAAGTTGTCAGAAAAGCTTCAAAGAGATAAAACTCTCCAAGTAAAGGGAAGGAGCATGCACTCAGTGAAAAAAACAGGCTGGAAGCTAAGAATAGGAAAATGGAGTGTTGACGAAAAGGCAGCATGAATACTGTAGAGTGGAGAGCTGGTATCAGAGAGGAGATAAACAAACCCATGAAAAGGAAAAGGTCCTTGAAGGAAAGACCAAAATAAAGAAGAGACACAACATTAAGGAACAAGAGAATGAGAGTTTTCTCTGAAATGATATATACATTTCTGAAGACAGTAGGGTAAGATCACAAGAGAGGACTCAGCTGATGATGTAGGAGTAAGGGGGAAATATGGGAACAAGAAAAAGAAATATGGGAACAAGAAATATGGGAACAAGACTGGAAAAGACAGAATTCAGTGCACAGGTAGACGGGTTGGGCCAGACAGCAAGGATGAAAATATAAAAGGAATAAGGAAATTCAGGAGATAGCACCTAAGAGATAAACTAGATTTTATCAGTGAAGCCAGAGATGCTTTTAAAAAGTGACTAAGTGTCAATACTTTCACTCAGGAAAATTCTTAAGAATCTGACACTTTTATATTATGAAAATGTGACATTTTGAAGGTTTTCTCCACCATTTAAAAACCTCTAATGCATTCCTACTATTTTAAAAATAAAGTTAAAACTCCTTAGCCTTACATTCAAGGACATTCATAATCTGACCCAAAACTACTTTCCTAGGCTTTGTCTCCTACTAGTGTCTGCTCACAGGAACCCAGTGCTCCAGCCTAGCCAATCTGTTCCTTGCCACCAACTAAATGCTATCTCTGCCCTTTTGTCTACCACATTCCTTGCTCACCACCCTCAAACTACACTGTAGCCACCCAAGCAAAAACAAAAAGTTTAAAAAAACAAACAAAAAAAACCTGAGTTACTTGTTAGAGGAAAGCAAAGATGAATAAGACATAGGGCCCAACATCAGGGAACAAGGTTATAGTATATTAAGGTGACATGGTTATAGTATATTAATCTTACCTACACTTGAAAGCTCGGCTCAAGTCTCAAGTCTCATATCTTCTACTAATCATTTACAGGATTCGCATATCTTCTACTAATCATTTACCGCAAGAAACATTTCTTCTAACCTCTGAGTACTCACTGTCTACTACTCATCTGGGTCCATCATAAGCAGCACAGGTTAACATCTTATTAGGTCTATATCCTTTCTCTCCACTAAAGTATAAGATCCATGAGGGCAAGGACTGTATTTTATATCTTTTTGTAAACTCCAGCGTCCAGTGTCTAGAGAGTGCCTGGAAGATGAGAAATGTTCATAAACAAGTGTGCTGCAACGTCTCCTATGCATGAATGCCCTTTCGTATGAAAAATAATTTGTTCCTCCCTGGCTATGAAACGGTGAAGCATGATTTAAGAAATTCATTACTTAGGGCCTGCTTACACTGTTATCATCACACTGCTACCAGTTCCAATCATCTCTTCATCTCTTATCTTACTCCTCCATTACAGGCAATGGTGCCTATGGTGAATATTAATGTATTTGGATTTCCACAAGTTAGAATTTTATGTATCTTATAGTTTTCAACTATTTTGATATATACACAATGATAATCAAGGCACAGGGTTTTGTTAAACTAACAAATTATCATTCTTCAAAGGCAGGTAAAAACAGCATTCTGTTCAGGAATTTGATAAAGGCCCCCAGAATTAGATGATTTTGTTAAGCCTTTCACTCTGCACATGTAACCACAACCCTCCACGCACTCTGTCAACTACTGTTACACACACAGTCACTACTGTACATATCATCCTTATTGACAGCCATCTCCATCTCATAAATAATGGTGATTAAGCCCATTCTTAACAGCAATGCATTCCTTGCTTCCTCAAATCATTATCTCTGTGAAGGGAGATCCTAACTGCACGAAATATAACCTATCTGATCCCATGTTCAGATACAGCAAAAACCTACAGATAAGACAGAAAGCACAAGTCTTGATGAGACTATAAAGTATAGGTCTTTATGAGACCGGTAAGATGCCAAAGCAGGAAATGCCTGGACCTTACATGCCTATTAAAAGCAATACCTCCACAGATGATGAGTGTCCAATCAAATCGCCAATAAGCTCCAGTGAACATGACGTGGCATTTTCTTGTTGCTTTTTAACAGGCTGGCTGGCTTGTTTGTTCACTCTTCCAAATCCCCACATGTTAAAAAAACCTACAAAAACACAATCATTTCAGTCATTTCCAAAATTATTGTGCTCTTTACTTATAGTAGTAATATGAGATCAGAAAAACAGAGAAAATTTAAATGCAAAGATGTTCTGCACTTATTTTAGTCCAGGGCTAAGTGGATGGTTCCAGGCACTATGCTAGTGTTTTTTAAATGCTATTTCATCTCATCTTTCATAGCTAACCGGGTTTGTTCCTCCTCTATTTCTACTGCTCCTTCTCACCCATGATAAAAAGACAGGCACTAGAAATGAAAGGGGAGAGAGGTGAAAGGCCTGAATGACAGTGTCTAATTGTCAAAAAAAAAAAAAAAAAAAAAAAAAAGGCATAACTCAGCTCTCTCAACAGAGCATAGAGGAAAAGCTATATGTGTGTGTCCAAAAACAATACCCTAGGACATCAGGTAAGTCAAAAGAACCAGAAGAAACTACAGGTGCCAGCATCAGATTTCTATGCAAAGGTTGGCAGTAATTCATTCAAACAGCCAGAGTTTTATTTTTCAAACCAAACACCTAAAAGTCAAGAGCTTCAGAGATTATGATATAAACACAAAAAGAAGTGTATTTTCCCATAAACTGAGTTCAATGTTAATGCTTCAAGGCTAAAGAACACTCAGTTTGACATCTGATGGTACAATTCCTGTTTGTGTATCAGTCAGAATTATAGATAATAGAAATGATACTTCATTAGGCCATTTGGTTATTCAGATTACCAGTTTTCCCTCGAAACATAAAATACCAGTTGATTGGAACTGAAGTAAAGAGGCGTTTTAAGGCAGTATTAAGATGTGAATCCTACATCCCAATTACCATATGCTTCCTGTAAACATCTTATGCCTATTCGGAGCATATTCTATATTATTCTTGTGATTTCACATAATTGCCCTTCTTCTGCCTTCCATATGAGAAAAAAGGGAGAGAAAAAGAAAGACTACCTTTCTGGGAAAAGACACACACCTGTTGGTACAGGTTCAGCTGCAAGCTGCTGTTTTTCTCGTAACTCCCAAATGCGTACACTGCCATCTTCTGAGCATGAGATTAATTGCCTGTCAGAACAGAAAATCAGTAACACAAAGAAAGCACACCATGGAGGGCCAATGCTAAATTTGCAGTTAGAGAAATCATTAGAGCCCTCAACTGCTTTTATTCAGTCTTAGCGGGAGCTGATAAAAATTACAAATTAACATGGCTTTACAATACAAACTAAAAGTATTCAGGAAAGGTACATATTACACTATGTCACACTGCTCAAATGCTATAAATTTATTATCTTCATTTCTTAAAATGCATTTGGGAAAACAGTATGAATGACACTTTTACAATGTCCTGAGAAACCCCCTTCCCTCCTCTCACTATATCGCTTCTCAGGGTGCCTCTTACTCTAAAAGTATCCTGCACAGAAAATAATGCTATTCTCTTCCCATAATTTCATCCCTAGAAACTGAGAAGCCAAATTTACTCTGAGAGGAAAACCCTCACTTAGTGGCCTTAGACAACAAGGAGACTACCATTTGATTCTGGCCATTATATAGTAAGTGCCCCTAAGTCTTTTACCTTATTAAATAAAAACTAAATTTTAAATCATCTCTTCTTACAATGAAATTCAATGTAATTCATTTAAACCTTGCTTCTTGTAAATTTTGTAATATAGTGCTACAAACTCTTCTGTTAGAGACAGCCATGGGACATTCTCAATGTCCAAAAAGAACACAGCAGATCAAACTACAGAACCAGGTAACTTGGTGACGAGAAATTACACTGGTGGCCCCAGGAACCATGACTTTCTTTCATCTATTGCAGAATGGATGGGAAGTCATACCTGTTTGGAAGTTTGGCAATGTGCAGAACATTGGAGTCATGTGCAGTTTTCTGGCAGGCAATCACACACTTCATTTGAAGGTTATATACATATAAACCCCTTCCAACTGCAGCAAATACATTCTGGGGAGGGAGCAGGGAGGGAGTTCAGAAATGGTCGTAAAACTAGTACTTAACACCACCTGATGTAACAGATTCCCAGCCCTCTGACATCAGAAAGCCATGTTACCTCCCCTATTCCTGGTCTTCAGCCCAAGTTACTATACTGCCCTCTGAAGTCCAATAATGTCGAAGCATCAAGGACTGCTCAGAGAGTATTTAGAAGGTATAAACACACAACTATTAATACAGAGAAAGCTTGCATATCATACCCCTTAGTGTCACTTTCTACCTCGATGAAATATGACAGCTAGAAAAAGCTATGGCTGGTGGCCTTACCCTGCAGCAGAAGCTACTGAAGTTTTCATTCACATAACACTATATACTTGAAATACAGAGAAAGCTTGCATATCATACCCCTTAGTGTCACTTTCTACCTCGATGAAATATGAAAGCTAGAAAAAGCTATGGCTGGTGGCCTTACCCTGCAGCAGAAGCTACTGAAGTTTTCATTCACATAACACTATATACTTGGGAAAATTACTTAGCTTCTTTTGCCTAGAAAGTGTGAGCAAATTACTTGCACTCCACAACTTAAGCAATCAAGAGACCTATAAATGATACAATTACGACAGCATATGCTTTTTTGTATCATTGTAAGATCCTCTGAAAGCTTCACAAAAACATTTTTTCCAAATGTAATATTAGAAATTCCTTTTTGCTAACATAACTTTAATAGTTTGAAAGCACTTTACCAATGTTTATCTCACTTCAGCCTCACAATATCTTGTAAGGGAGGAAAGGCAAACATTACTGCCATTTTCCAGAACAGGTTAAAATTTTTAAAAAATGAAAGTCACACAAGAAATCAGACATGGAGTCAACATTAGAATCAAGGTAACATTACTTCAGTCCCTTGTTCTTTGCTAACACCACAGGACCTAGCTTCTGAAATTACTTTGCAAGTTACCAGACTTCTAGCAGCACTAGTCTTAGAATCATTCATTCTTATACAATAGGTACCCTCGTGAGGAAGACCTTCCAGATTGCCTTTCTGTTTTCACCAGAGACCTTGGGCCCTCCAACCCTTCTAATTCAGCCTCAAAGGCTACAAACCCAACTCAGACCTACAATATCTGAATCAAAGCATGTCCCCAAGGCTTACCAGAGTCTAAATCTGGAATGATTTCCTTGACACTCAGGATTAGTACTCTGCACTCAGTAAGGCAAGTTGAGGATCAGTGCCAACGGCACTAATAAAAACAACTAGCCAATGTGCTAAAATCTAGAGCCCTATAAATTGCATTCAATGCAAAACCCCAGAAACTAGTCCTACAGACCAAGAAATCCATGCACAGTTTAAGTGACTGGATCTAAGGTCACAAAGAAAATTACAAACACAACTAGAGAATTCATGAGCTTTAGTGGCAGCATTTTCTCAATGGAGACACTCTATCAATCAACTGTCGTCAATAATAGTTCCCTGTAGAAGGAAAGAACCCTCAACAAAAGAAGGAAAAATAGGGAAAACTGAAAAATGCTTTTTTTCAAGTATTTATAGCTTGATATTTTTTTAAGATTAAAAGGAATACAAAGTGAAAAAACTTTTACGTACTAATTTTTACAAAAGTCAGAAAAAGGTATAAAATTATTTATATAATTTTTAGGGCTACAACTCTTAGAAATCTAGTCTCCATATTTTGAGACTATATTATTTTTTATCACATATATATATTTTTTTTCAAAAACAAAGAAACCTAACCTTTGGATATATTAGTTTTGTTTTTTTTAACTCTTAGAAATCTAGTCTCCATATTTTGAGACTATATTATTTTTTATCACATATATATATATTTTTTCAAAAACAAAGAAACCTAACCTTTGGATATATTAGTTTTGTTTTTTTTAAAAATCCTATTCTTATCCTATTCTTTTCTCTTTTGTTTTTGTTTTGTTTTTAAAGTAAGAGAGGTGCAAAGAAAAAAAAGTACACCACATTCTCTCCCTCCAGAACACTATTAATGAAATTTTTAAGTAAAAATAATAACATGTATGCAATTGGAAAATTTAAACAGTATAGACAGGCACAAAATAAAAGTGAGAGAAAAGCTTCCTCCCCCACCCCCCTCCTCAAAGGTTACAACTCTTAAACATATCTTTTAATTACATTTAGACAAGTAACCCCCCTTTAAATGTATTTTCTGAGCCCGTGAGGCTAAGAGAAGAGATTGTTTAGATCAGAGCCAAGATTCAGCAATCCATTGGTACTAATCTCTTCCAGCTAAAAAGACGTCAAGTGCTTCAACAGCATCACTGCCAAGGCCTAAAGGATGGAAGCTGGCAATTATCACCCAATTATCTCGCACCAGAATGCTAGTAAACTAAAAGGGAAACATTCTTGAAATTTTTAATTTCTTTATCTCTCTGTGAAAAGCACCAGAATCTTCAAAAGGATCCTTTCTGACGGTGTTTCTTAAAACAATTTTAAGCATTAACCTCAAATCCTATGGGATTATTTAATTCCACCCAAAATTTTCAATAGGGTTAAAATCTGCCGCCATTTAGTCACCCACTTATCTCAAAATTAGGAGTGAGGATTAAAATGCCTTTTTAACACAAATGGTACCATTTTCAAAAAATATCAGACCGTTTTAAAGCACAACTTGAAACCATGGGGAATGATATCTCTTTATGGCTAAAATGGAATTAAAGTTTAAAAATCAGAAATTAGATTTATTAAAAAAGGCACATTTACAGATATTTTATACATTTTTACCTCTTCATCACATGTGAAATGATGGATAGAAATGTCATTTTGTTTTTGACAGAGTTTTATTTCTTGCTGGGTGTCCAGTTGTGGAGATGGGTCCCAGAAGTTGCGTTCATAGGCCTGCACGGTCCAGTCCAGGACATCCCAGATGATCAGCTCTCCAACATGAGAGCCAGTGACAAAACTCAAATCTAGGCAAAGTTCACATGTGCCTCATTACTGATCATTTTATCTAGGCTAAAGGTAAAAATGAATGGACTGCCTAGTAGTAATGCTCTATAAATTCACAGTAATTAGAACAGTGAGGTACCTACACAAGCCAAACAGAAATATTAATATAACAGAATAAAAAGACCAAAAATAGATTTAACTGTAATAACATTCTCTTCATATCACATAGCAAAAGAAGGGCCATGAAGTTAAGGTTATCTCTGTAACATCCCACCACCTTCATTTATGTAAACATGCTGGTTCAATGGTACTAAATAAGACACTAAATTTCACCAAAAATAAGACAACTAGGCATGATCAGTATAATGGAACAGAACACCGTTGTGTTTTTCTCTGCAGCTTGGGGCCTTAGGGCTCCAAGCAGGCCTCAAAAAGTCTCTCATATAAGAACTTTCCTTTTATGCTATGTCTCCATCAATGACTAGAGAAAAAGAACACCCAGAGAAAAATAAAGGGGCACTACCAACAACTGTTACTTCTATCACCACAGAAAATCTGCTTTTTAGAAAGACTTGTAGCTGGCTTTTACAAGAAGATGTCTATTAGAGAGGAGGATTTTGGAGCTGAGAGGCATGTTCTTACTGATGTATCTGAAAACGTGACTGAATGGCACACAAATGGAGACTATACTTGGTGCTCTCTGTGCCCCTCTTTCCCTTGTCTCATGTTTATACCAAATATTTTAAAAAAAACCCTATAGTTCCAACAATTCTACTTCTAGGAATTTTTCCTGAGGGAAGTACATAAAAGACACAGGGACAATGTTGTTATACGACCTTAAAAGTCTGAAGATAACCTAAACATCTAACTGGGGACTGAATAAATAAATAAGGCATCCACAAAAGAAACAATAATGCTGTTATTGAAAATTAAGTTGTAAAAGTATGTTTACACTGATATGAAAATAAATTCATGCCATACTGTTACAAAACTGTAAATTATTTCTATACACATTACACACACACCCACACATATGCCTGGAAAACACCTAGAAGGATGTGTACCAGTATTTAGTGCTGGATAGTAGGACAATTTAAATTTTAACATTTTTTATGTTTCTCACTATTTTCTCATTTTTCTACTATGACTATGTGTAACTTGGTACAATAACAAGTTTTTAAAACCTTTAGAGAAAATGAAATTAATGGGCCAAGACATTTTATAAATCATACATTTAATAGAAAATGCACAGCTGCTAGACTAAAAATTATTTTAAAGAAATGTAATTTATTTTAATTCTTACATATTTGGGGTAAGACAGAACAGAACAATGCACTGAATCCAGAAACCCAAGTTCTAATTTTGGCTCTGCATGTTATTAGCCAGGTGGTCTTTAGGAAGTCATTTACTTTATTTTTTTTAGGAAATCGTTTAAACTTTCTGTATCTTGGATTCCTCAAGCATTAAATGAGAATGATTGTAAAAATAAAATTAAATAATAAATGTGTAGCCATTTCAAAAAAACATCAAATGTTATCTTTGAGTCCCTGGTATTATTTTGAGCCTCTGGTATTATTCCACATCAATGATACTAAAACATCCAATTACTTGTAATTTAGAAATACATAGATGAGTATAATTATGATTTAATTATCCCACTTATCAAACAAACCAGTGGGACAAAAATCTTTAATAAGCAGATGAATAATCTCTTAGAAATAAAGAATTACCAGCAATCATACATGTAAGCATTATTTTGTCTTGGTTCCAAGGCTATCATAGGTAGCTCATTAATGCCTAATTTCTATAATTTATTAACAGACTATAGAATTTGCTCTGTGAAGAAATAAGTTCACTTCTCATCTGTGGAGAAAAACAGGCTTCTACTTTTAAAAGCGAGAAAGTTAAGGTGGTACTAATCTTTCCATGACCTTCTTTTCCACTGCTTTCCCTCCTCTTTCCAATTTCAAACTACAAAAGCAACAGAGAAGTGAAGGAGTGAAGACTCCTCTTGATTCTCACTCTGCATATGTGGTCATAACACAGAGTTTACCTACTGAGACCATGTAGCTGCTTTCTCTGACTTAATCCTTGTAGTGTCTGTGATTCCTCTATGCAGTAGAAACAAAGTATTAACGACCAGTTAGAATTTTTCACTAAAAACAAAATAGTGGCATTCATCAGTGTCAGCACATAGTTTATCACTATGTATATTATTTACATTCCCAAACAGGTCATTAAAAATGTGTCTCACCAAACAATCCCAATGATGTGTTATTAATGGATGGATTTTTATTCTGTATAAGTATCAGAAGCCACTTAGTATGAAAATCTTACCTGGCATCTGTCTATCCATTCCTCACAAGTACTAACACTTTGTGACTACCATATCATGCTGTCAGCACAAAATAAGAAAAGGAATAAAATAAAGCAGCAGCAGCCACAGCCTTTTGCCGGAAGAAATTAGTAAGGTCATCTTGTTTGTCTGTCTTAGAAAACCTTCTGCATTCAGATGTCTAGTAACATTTGCGGGAGTTCTATCTTTCCATTCTAAGGTCGCCCTGGGGACTGCTCTCTTAAAATGCACTTCCCCTGTGATGTACAAACCCAGGAACCAGCCACATCTTTCACTGGTAATGGTGAGGACAAAGAAGCAGGGTAGAGACTGGAGCAGGAAACTATACAACACAATCATTCCAGGACTGCCAAAGCCTGCAGCAGGGCTGACATGCCTATGCACAAAATCAGACTGTCAGCAAATCATTTTCAAATTGTACCAGACTTCCTGGTTTATAAGGTAAAAAGTACTAGGGTTTTCTGTAACTTTCATTAACAATTTTTTTTTTTAGCTTGTCATTTTCCTTCCCTTAAGAATTTGGCAAAGAAATACTTGAAGAAATCTTTCTTTAACTGTAATAACATTCTCTTCATATCACATAGCAAAAGAAGGGCCATGAAGTTAAGGTTATCTCTGTAACATCCCACCACCTTCATTTATGTAAACATGCTGGTTCAATGGTACTAAATAAGACACTAAATTTCACCAAAAATAAGACAACTAGGCATGATCAGTATAATGGAACAGAACACCGTTGTGTTTTTCTCTGCAGCTTGGGGCCTTAGGGCTCCAAGCAGGCCTCAAAAAGTCTCTCATATAAGAACTTTCCTTTTATGCTATGTCTCCATCAATGACTAGAGAAAAAGAACACCCAGAGAAAAATAAAGGGGCACTACCAACAACTGTTACTTCTATCACCACAGAAAATCTGCTTTTTAGAAAGACTTGTAGCTGGCTTTTACAAGAAGATGTCTATTAGAGAGGAGGATTTTGGAGCTGAGAGGCATGTTCTTACTGATGTATCTGAAAACGTGACTGAATGGCACACAAATGGAGACTATACTTGGTGCTCTCTGTGCCCCTCTTTCCCTTGTCTCATGTTTATACCAAATATTGTTCAAAAAAAGCCAACCCAGGCCTCAGGTAGATATGTGACTGGGGTGCAGACCAGTCCTCCCACTATATCATATTCCCACCATCCCTACAAGATCCACTTGCAGTTTCCACCGGACTATCAAACTGAAGCCACCAAGAGTTCTCTTAACTGACCTTATGCAGATCACCAGCAGGGCTCTAATAATATAAGTTGTGCTTATTTGCAAGTGAACTAGCTAAACGCCAAGATCTGTGGTTTGTGATCCTGTCCTACCATCTGATGTCAGATTCATCTCATACGAGATACTCATTAAAATCATTTGTGAAGCCAAACAGGTTGTCAGCAAGGCAAAACCCACAACCATGAAGAAGGGCAGACATGACCCATGACCCATTTTCTGCAGACCTTTACTTTAGTTCAGTGTTATTCTCTGAGTCTTCAATCATGATTGTAACTGACTTGAATCCTGCTCATTGTACTGTAAGTGTATAACTTGCTATGTGATACTGTACTGTGTGGTCGGCAAGACAAAAGGGCATAAATATTTCCAATCTTCTCTACAAAAGAGGAACTCGCCAGAACCATTTGCCAAAAATGCTGAAATGCTACTAGGCGTTAGTATTTGTAGCCTATAACAATCATCCCACAGCTACCAAGTACTGCCTGAGATAATTATGCTCTCCTCTGTCTTCTTTTCTCTGCCCTACTCTATGTTCCTTGTGCCTAAATCTTAGACCTACCAAGCTATGAAACTTTCTCAGCTCCACTGGCTAAAACCTCACAATAAAAGAGAATGACAATCCCTACTAATCTAAAGCATTATTTTAATGACAGTAATTCCAGAATCCTGGAACAAAACAAGACTGAAGTTCAGAACAGGTTACGTTAACAAGTACAAAACTTAACATAATATACATGTACACAATGAGCTTACCACTGACATTAACCAACGAGAGAATATTATCCTTGTGATCAAGGAGGCGCTTAACTTCAAGAATATCCCATTTTGGTGATCCATCTGTGGGTGCTACCAATTTGAAAATTACTAAACGAAAAAAGATATAATTTTATTAAAGTGCTCAAGGAAATAAAACACTATTTCTGCTCAAAAAGCATTTCATTACATGAAAAATACCTACCATATTGAAAAAAACCCATCTGAAAAACAGCCTTATTCATACTACTTTAAAATGTTTCTTTGAAATCCTAGAGAATTTGAAATGATCTAGTAAAGCCCCAAGTGAGTTTTTAGAACTCTCTTCCTTTATTGACTCTTCCAAACCCACTACCAAACCCTAAAGCCCCCATTCTCTCTAGGGTTTCAATGCACGTACGGCTATCCCACCTCACTTCCTCCCTAGCCAGTGACTGGCCCATATTCCTGAATCATCTAGACCAACAGCTTTCTCCACACATGTTCCCAGGCCAGAAAGCACTGCTAAAAAATAAGCTACTACTGTATGCCTAACTTCAACTCGGTGAAGACTTCAACAGTTGCTTTTCTTTTTTTTTTTTAAACTTTTTTTTATATGTAGGAATATATGATCAAATTATAAATTCTATGAGAATATGCCTTATAATTTTTGTAGGCCATACAATGCTTTTGTTGACTATAGATGTTCAATGTGTTGATTAACTCATTATCTGACTTTAACAAATACAGTTTTTTTGAAACTAGTATAAATCCAAACTGTAATAAATACAGAAAACCCAAAATCAAATCAACTGAAGTAATTTTATCCACAAACACTTACTAAACATCTACTATGTTCTAGGAACTCTAGATGCCAAATGTGAATAAGGCCCAGTCACTGCCCTGAAATGCTTTGTTTAGAATGGAAGTGAGATTTATAAATGGGCTTACCATCAATGTATTAAGTGTTATAAGCCACTGGACCAAGTGCTGTGGATGCTCAAAGATAACTAACATCTAAGAACTGAGAGGGTCTCATAAATCATGTCCTTTCCAAATGGTGGTAATTACTAAAATGTCTCTTCTTTCTCACATTTCTCTCTGGAAAACAGGTCACACCTTGTTTCTTTCTGTATCTGTGATATTTTACCAACTGACAAATCTCTAGCAAGGTTATTTAATCCTGACAGCCACTCACATTCAAACTGTGGCTGTCAAAAGAAGAGGGTTTTCAGTCAATACAAAAGAGAACTCTTTCTGATACCTTTCAAAGTTGTATGAAAATTCTATGTCAGTTGAAATACTACTAAATGATCTTGAGACTGGGATTTCTGAATAACAAGCAATCTATTGTTTAATCAAACTCACAGGGATCATAACCTGAAATACTGGCAAGAAAAAGAAACCTGACCTAATACCTTGAAAATGTCTTAGTCTCCATGTTACTTCAACAATCCCAGGAGGCCAAGACTGGGGCAGGTATATAAAAAACTAATTAGTCTTGCCGGCATGTGTATATAAGTCTAATTCAAAATTTAAAAAAGAAAAAAAATCATACTCACTAAGTTCTTTGCCAACTGCTGCTACAACACAGTTCTTAGGTATTTCAACCAAAGTGCTGATCCCTTCAAAAACATAAAACAAAGTTCAAATTATTTTTTTCATGGATTACATCAAAAACAAAAACATTCTCAGTTTTACATCAGTCATTTCCCATAAAAGGGGGTGGTAACAATAAAGCACATATAATTTGCTGCATACACACTCCCTTGCTCACTTACACACAGAAAAGGATTTTGTGAAGAGTAGGTTTCTGAGAACTCAGGAACACATTACTGATTTTTTAAGGGTAGGATATGTTCTTCAAACATTTTTACTATTGTGGCAAAGTGGTATATTCGGCCATTCAAACTTATTTAACAGAGGTCCCTTAAGATAAGCATCATTACCCATTTACTAGATGCCTAGCTCAAATGATTGTAAAATTGGGTTTTCTTCATGGTACACTTAAGAAGTCTCAGCAGGCTCCCTAGGACTAAGGGAGCTAGCCAACAGTCAACAGCTAAGAAAGTAGCCTTCAATTCAAATGGCATGTTTATGACCAATTAATACCTTTATAAAATTCTTTATATTATTGAAATAATCAGATTCAACACTGTACCACATTTCACTTATTTATTTAAATATAAAATTCTGAATATCTTTTCATAGCTGATTTATGAAATGATTTGAAGGTAACCACAACTTCTGTAAGATATATTACAATTATTACTTCTGTCGGCAAGAATTAAAGTGTTGATATATTAGAACCTCCAGATGTGTTGGCAAAAAATCTATTGATGAAAGTTAATTTTTCCATTATGACATATATGTAATTTATAATACACATGCAAATTTAGAAAATATGTACTCATTTGCTTATTCTTCCCACTCATCAAATGACTAGCACTGTTATGATCTGAAGAGTATTTCCAACCAAAATTTTTTCTCCACACAGGCTTGTTTTAACAGCATGTTTTGTATTTTTCTATGTACAAGGAGCAGGAGGTGGTGTTGCAGGAGGAGAGAGAGGGAGTAGTGGTACAACAGAAGGAGGTGGAGGATATGGGGATGGGTGGCAAGAGGACCACTCTAAACAAAGAAAGCAGTTTGTGAAAAAATGTTCATCAAATTACTCGTGTAGTGAAAATATTGGAAACCCAACAATCCAGAAGTGGTAATTTAATACTCAGAATCACAAAACATATACTGAAAAGAGCATGGATGTCCTGTCTTCCAGTCCAGTGCTTTCCATTGGATGATATTGACCAAGATTATCTTTTTTTATTTCCAAATAGAGAATAACTGCTGTGAAAATATTGGAAACCCAACAATCCAGAAGTGGTAATTTAATACTCAGAATCACAAAACACATACTGAAAAGAGCATGGATGTCCTGTCTTCCAGTCCAGTGCTTTCCATTGGATAATATTGACCAAGATTATCTTTTTTTATTTCCAAATAGAGAATAACTGCCCCTAAAAGCCCCACCAACACATTAATCAAGCAGGGCTTTTAAAGGCCATCATGAGATAAGGGTCTAATAGCACTGCTGGCACCCAGCATCCTGTAACTTGGAAAACCCAAATCACAAAAAGCTCACTAGTGGTAACTTGTGGCCTTTTCAAGCTTTCCAATAGATTCCCTCAAAGTCTTCAGTTATCTCTTGAGATACTAATAAACAAACAGGGCAATATTGTGATTATTTAATGTGTAGTACTCAAAGATAACATGCAAAAGAAAAGAAGACTGCAATAATACGTGGTTCTTTCCATTAACATATAAAACATTCTTTTTAGCCTGATTTCAATATTTCACAATATAACTACTAATAATTTACAATAAAATTCATAAATAACCACAGGCTAGCAAAAGAAATAGAGAAGAAAATGAACATGTAAATAAAGAGATATAACTCATGATAGTAAACAAAGAAATACACTTTAGATTCAAACAAGATTATCAGTAACCACATGTTTACAAAGAGGTTAAACTGTAAATGTATGGGTTTAGTCTTCTTAAGACATCTCATTATTTTTCTGATATTTTATAATACCTATGTGGAGATAAGCTACCTCCAATTATGAACTGTAAATTCAACTCACAGGGTTCCTGCTATCTTTAAAACATCAACATTATGCACAACGGTACTCTTTTTAGGATGTCCTTAGGCTCATTTGCTTACTCTGAGAAGCAAAAGTAGTTAATAGTGTATTATACGACTTCAAGGTTATTATCATTTAACTGTACTCATTTATATTTAAATATCTTTACTCTAAAAATATTTAATTTTATTTTTTTAAGATCCTTGATATCAATAAAAGTCAAAACCGTTTTTTTTCAGTTATATAATTGAAGTGTATGTTGACAGAATTCTGAGGAAATAGAACTTTGTTAGTGAGCTTGCACGTGTATGAACTTTTTAGTTATAACCAACTGCAAAAAGAGGTCATCCTTAGGAATCTATTCAAAGTCCAGTGACACTACAAAAAGAGAAAAATGCTACAGTAAAGTCATAAGGGTCTGCATTGGTGTCCTTGTCAAACTCAGTTTAGGAACATGGCCCAAGAGCACACATGAAAAGGTCTTTCTTGACCACTTCTGAGAAATTCTGTTAGAAGGGAAAGGGAAGTCAAAAGGAGAGGGGTCTTCTATCAATTCAGGATGGAAATATATTTTACACAGCCCTTGATCTGAATTGAAGAAATATGGCTACATATCTTCAGAACTACAAAGAAAAATCCCCCATATTGACTTCTGTATTCATGGAAGGTCTCTTTGAAGATTCACTGTGTCTCTTACAGTGTGTCAATTGTGGTTCACAATTACCTTATTTGTTTTTTTACCTGTATCAGAAAGGTGACTAGTCTTACACAGGAGATCTAATTTTCGGTTCCACACACAAAGGTCATTCCCACCAGAAAGCCAAACATCTAGTCTCTGAAGAACAATTAGACACTGCAAAATTGATATGAAATGTGTATCAGTTTAGAAACTCAAGCATTCAGAGTTCGGTGTTTTTAAAATACATCCACAAGTTCTTTGAAACCCTTCAACACATGGAGATTATTTCTCCTTCCTTTGAATATAGTTTCAACTAAGTGACTAGCTTCTAATGAATAGAATGTGGCAGAAGGGATGGTGCATGACTTACAAGACTAAGTCATAAAAGACACTGTGGCTTCCTCCTTGTTCTCTCTTGGGTCACTTGCTCCTCAGGATGACAACCAACCAGCACTAACTTACCAAGCATGTGAGCCCTTAGGAAGTGGATCCTCCACCCCCAGGGAAGCCTTCAGATGACAGCAAACTCATGAAGACCCTTGGCCAGCACCACCCAGCTAAGGTGCTCTCTATCCCTGACCACAAACACTGAGAGATAACAAACAGCTATTGTTTAAAACCACTAAGTTTTGAGAAAATCTGTTACTCAATAACAGATAACTAATAACACAATGCTTAAAATAAGCTCTTTTTAAAAATAAAGCTAAAAATATGACTTTAGTTTTTATGTGTCTTAAATTATTATCTCCTATTCTTTTCAATAAATCTTTATGTTTGGTAGACTCAGTAAAGTGAGTGTTTCAAGGATTCTGGAAGTCTTTATCCTTAATTTGAAAATAAAGTCTACTCCTTTAACAGTATTCTCTTCACCCACTCTGAGTGAGAACAAGGGCAAGAGAAGAATAAAAAAGAAAAGGAAGAGGTCTTGGTAGTCTTGTCTAGGCTAAGGGTGGGGTTGCTTTTCAAACTGATGGAATAAAGAGTTGAAAATAATCAATATGGTTTAGATTTCAAGAGGTCCCATCCTGTCTCTCTAAATTTTTAACATAAGTACTTCATTCCTTTTTATTGCCAAGTAATATTTCATTGTATGGATATACCACATTCGTCTACCCATTTACCAGCTGGTAGACATTTAGGTTGTTTCCTTTTTTTGGCTATTATGAATAATGCTGCAGTGAATATTCATGCACACATTTTTGTCTAAACATATATTTTCATTTCTCTTGAGAATACACCTAGGATTGCTACATCAAATGATAATTCTGTGTTTAACATTTTGATGAGTTGACAAACTGTTTTCCAAGATGGCTATACCATTTTACAATCCCACCAGCAAAATATGAAGGTTAAAATTTCCCCACACCCATATCAACACTTTTTATTGTCTGTCTTTTAGATATTAGCCATTCTAGTATGTATGAAATAGTATCTCATTGTGGTTTTGACTTGTATTTCTCTAATGACAAATGATGTTGAGTTTCTTTTTATGCACTTTTTGGCCATTTCTATATCTTTTTTGGAGATATTTCTTTCAAAATCCTTTGTCTATTTTTAAATGGGTTGTCTTCTTTTTATTGTTAAGAGTTCTTTTTATATTCTAGATAAAAATCCATTTTCAGATATGTAATTTACAAATATTTTCTCCTATTCTGTTATCTTTTCACTTTATTAATGACGTCCCTTGAAACAAAAAAAACCTTCATTTTGATGAGGCCCAATTTAGTTTTTTCATTTGTTGCTATGCTTTTGGTGTCATATCTAAGATACCTAAGCCAAGGTCAAGAAAGATTTATTCCTGTATTTCTTCTAAGAGTTTTATAGGTTTAGCTCTCACATTTGGATCTTTGACACATTTTGAGTTAATTTTTGGATAGGATGTGAGGTAAGGATTCAATTTCACTATTTTGTATGTGGATATCCAGTTGACTCAGTACTATTTTTTGAAGAGACTATTCTTTCTCCCAAAGAAGGCTCTTAGCACTCCTGTTGAAAATCTCTTGGCCATACATGAGGGTACTTTAAAAAGTTCATGGAAAAATAGAATTGGAAGATAATACAAATGCTTCCGTGAACTTTTTGAATACCCCTCATATGGATAGCTTTATTTCTGGACTTCCAATTCTGCTCCATTAATCTGCATGTCTGTCATTATGCCAGTAACACACTGTCTTGATTACTGTAGCTTTGTAGTAAGTTTTGAAATTGAGGAATGTGTCTTGTAACTTTGTTCTTCCTTTTCAAGATTGTTTTGGCTATTCTGGGTCCCTTGCACTTCTATATGAATTTTAGGATCAGTTTGTCAATTTGGGGGGAAAAAAAGCCAGCTGTAATTTTGATAGGTTGAATTCAAAAGGTAGATCAATCTGGGCAGTGTTGCATTCTTAACAATATTAAATCTGATCCATGAACATAGGATGTCTTTCCATTTATTTAGATCTTCTTTAATTTGTTTCAACAATGCTTATAGTTTTTGGTGTAGAAGACTTATACTTCTGTAAATTTACTTCTACGTATTTTATTCTTTCAGATGCTACTGTAAATGGAATTGTTTTTGTAATTTCATTTTTAGAATATTCATTGCTAGTATACAGAAATGCAATTGATCTTTGTGTATTGCTATTATATACTGAAACGTTACCCTAATAGTTTTGTTGCAGATTTGGGACTTTCTATATACAAGATGGTGTTACTATAAATAGAGATAGTTTTATTTCTTCCTTTCCAACACGAATTTGTTTATTTCTTTTTTATTGCCTAATTTCCCTGGCTAGAACTGCCAGTACAAGGCTGAACAGACATGCTGAGAGCACACATTTTTATCTTATTCCTGACATAGGGGTGAAGTATTCAGTTAGTCTTTAACCATTAATATGATGTTAGCTGTGGGGGTTTCATAGATGGCCTTTATAAGGATGAGTAAATTCTCATCTGTTCCTAGTTTGTTGTATATTTTTTATCACAAGAGAGTGTTGGAGTTTGTCGAATGCTTTTTCTACATCTATTGAGATAATTGTGTGGTTTTTGTCCTTTATTCTTATTACGGTTTATTTCATTGATTGATTTTCCAGATGTTAAACTAAGCTCAAGTTACTGGGATAAATCTCATCTGGTCATGGTCTATAATCCTTTCTACATGTTGCTGGATTTGGTTTGCTAATTTTGTTGAGAATAATATATTGCTTTTGTTACTGAACATCTTACCACTAGCATTTTCCAAACTCTTTTTATATTTTTCTGAAATACCATTTTTAGTATATAGTCTACTATAATTTAACTTTTTCTATAAGACATTTAGGATAATTCCAATCACATATTTAAAAATATATTTGTAGTATATATTTCTGTTCATAAATCTCTGCCCAAGTTTCTGATTATTTCCTTTAAAGAGCTTTCTAAAAGCAAAATCACTGGGTCAATGCATATAATCATTTTTTAAGATTCATTCATAATGCGAAACTGCCTTTCAGGAAGAGCATTATCAATTTATACTCTCAATAAGCAATAAAAATGACAATTTCACTATCTTCTTGCTAACACCAACCCTTATAAAAAAAACTTTACTAGTTCAAAAAATAATAATAGTATTCCTTATATTAGGGATCTGAATTTCTTTGACAAATTATCTATTTAAGACCAACTGAACCACTGAATTAAAGTGAGCACAATGCTATTTTTAACAATTTTTTATGTGAAACACAATCGTAGAAGAAATTTAAAAAATTATTCAGCTGATTAACATTACAGTAAAATCTCTTTAAAAAGCACCTAAAGTGAGCACAATGCTATTTTTAACAATTTTTTATGTGAAACACAATCGTAGAAGAAATTAAAAAAATTATTCAGCTGATTAACATTACAGTAAAATCTCTTTAAAAAGCACCTTCACCATACTGGAATAAGAGACTTTTTTCTTGACCAGTTTCTACAACCAGTTCATGGAACAGTGCACCAAAGGAATTGCCCCCAAATACACTAAAGTTTTTCTCCGCTGTTCCTTCAATTCATGTATTTTCATCTGAAACCTAACAATTTTAGTCAGTTTTTCAGATGGCAAGAATATTTTTAAAGGAATGTAAAGGGGCATCTTTTAAGATCACATAAAGAACAGAGATTTTGATCAAGTCAATACTTTAATGACTTCTTCAAAAAAAAGAGCCTGCATTAGATACAAGCATATAGCACATTTTACATGTTCTTTCCCAGAAACTTTACTAAACTTACATTTAGAACAGCATAGTGCCATAAGATAGCTACCAGAGATGCTGTCTTTTAGGAAAAAAATGAACTACTCTTACTATTGGCACACAGCAATTTTTTTTTTTTTTAATTAAAGAAAAAAAGTGTTGGGCCGGCCCGGTGGCGCACTCAGTAGAGTGCAGCGCTTGAGAGTGCAGTGGCGCTCCCGCCGAGGGTTCAGATCCCATATAGAGACCAGTCCGCTCACTGGTTGAGCGCGGTGCGGGTGCGACACCAAGGGTTGCGATCCCGTTACCGGTCACGAAAAAAAAGATAAAAAGAAAAAAAAAAAAAAGAAAAATAGTGTTAATTCCAATAGGGAAATCAGTTATCTTTAAAGCAAATGAGGAAACATCTCATTTTACCAGTATCTTTTCCCAAATGTGCTGACAATATTTAAAAAAAAAAGCAGTACTTTCTCAGAATATTTATGGTAATTTCTTCTGTAGGAATCACAAGTAACCAAGTCTTATCCATGTTTGTTTCTCTGAAATGTAGCAGAGTTCCTGTCATATATTAAGCCCCAATTAATATTTGTTTGCAAAATGAATGTACCTAATAGTAGCATCTGATTAGCCAATATATTTTTAGTTTTAGAACTAAGTAATTGATATGTCTTGTCTTTATGACCTTAGAGAAGGCAGAGATTGAGGGACAAATAACTCCAAATTTTCAGTTCAAAATATAAAGAAAAGAGAATAGCTACCGTTATGGTTATTCTGCAAGTGATATCTATTCCGAGAATGACCAACTAAAAACATACAAAAGAGAATAGCTACCGTTATGGTTATTCTGCAAGTGATATCTATTCCGAGAATGACCAACAAAAAAAAAATTGGGGACTTTTTCCTCATCTTGCTACTAGGATTAGCCTCTGCTCTAATTTCAAATTCAATTATTCTAGCACCTAATACAAGGGTACTTCAAAAAGTACCCTCAAAAATATATGCATATATTCCCAAAGATCTAATCTTAGAAGAATCAAGTGACTGTGATCTAACTCATTAAAGTATTTTTCGTGAGACAAAACCAGATTACCATAAAAACTCATATTTTGCTTATGATTTTACCTTTACAGTAGACTGGAAGCATGATACTCTCCGAACTTGTCTGCCAGTATCACTATCCCATACCTAAATTTATGTTAGGAAATAATTTCTAGACAGAATTTTAAAACCTTAATTATGAGATAACTTTTCTAATTAATTGAACCACCAATGTTACACACTTAGTTAGAAAATCTTTAAATAAAACATAAAATATTTAGTCTTTACACGACCACAAAAATTAATTCATATAGTGAGTCATCAAGTTAGCAGAGCAGGCTTATGATCTCAAATAAGTTTGAGGTAAATTTTACTAAAAAGCTATTTGAAAATGCCAGCAGAATGAGTGATCTTAAGTACTGAATCTTTACAGGCATTAAATACTGCAACTGTTTAAAAGTTTATTCTCCAGAATAGTCTACCATAATTTAATAAACATGAAGTATCTGTACTAAAAACTATCACATCCATTAATTAATTTTTACTGAAAGAGCCTTGCAACGTGCATGGCATGACTTACTACTGTCATCCTTATTTAAAGATGATTCTAATGGTGTATTACTATTACCTGTTATATGTATTTAAAACAATTAGAGGGCATTTCATAAAATGTCCAAGGTTAGCATGACTTAAGGAGTATAATGATTTTCAAACTTTTTACACCATTTCCTATGGTAACAAATATACTTTATATCATGTCTGAAAACAAATTTACATACATATATATAATACATATGAATATGTGTATATTAAAATCAAAACTAATTTAACAAACTTGTTAACCTTATCATGTCCAAAGCCTTTTTATTTTTTATTATATTCTATTTCATTTTTTAAATGTAGGTAGATTGTTATGAGAATTATATTACATATCTATTAAACAAATTGCTAGCATATAAAAAGTGCTCACAGTAATTAGACAATATTTTCTGGCCTTAAATTTACCACAATTCTAGTATTATCTCACACAGCCTTTTCACCTGTTTCACTATTTAAAAGCTGAATGTTTAATATTCAGTAACTTGAGCTCCTAAATCTATCACTTGACAAAAACAAAAAAAAAATCTACCCTGGGCCGGCCCGGTGGCGCACTGGATAGTGCGCCGCTTGGGAAGCGCGGCGGTGCTCCCGCCTGAGGGTTCGGATCCCACATGCAGACCGGTTCCCGCTCGCTGGCTGAGCGAGGCGCGGGAGCAGCGCCGAGGCTTGCAGTCCCGTTGCAGGTCCCCGGTCCGGTGCGGGGGCGACACTGAGGGTTGCAATCCATTGCCAGACACGGAAAAAAGACAAAAGACAAAAAAAAAAAAAAAATCTACCTTCAGCATTTAATTAAGGAAGTTAGTTAACAGTATAGGTCCAACCAGAGTAAATTTAGAATTCATCTGGGCAAAAGGAACTGCCAACTTAAGCAGCCTGGAATTTTTTTTAATAAGAAAAGCCATTCAGCAAAGGAAATGACTCTATACTATCATTTACAGGTAAAATTTATACTACTACTGTCCCAGCTGCTAACCTCTGTACTGTAATAGTAATTTTAGTAATTGCCTCAAAATATTATTATAGTGTCTTAGGAATAAAGAAAAAATATTTAAATTCTATTTTTGCAGAGAATATATTCATACTGAAAAGGAAAAAAACAAAAGAACTTTATTCCATAAAATATTTGCCTCAATGGAGCAGTAGTAATAAAGCCACTCTGACCTAAATATCTGAGTGAATTTTATGCCTTTGTTTATGTTGTACTATAATCACACATAAAAATATATATAAGTAGTTTATCCCTACTTAAATTTTTTCTTAAATTTTTTCACATATTGGCAATCTGTCTAGAAACCACTTCAGCTGATGAAC